GTATATTAATATACACGTATATCCACACTTAGTGAAATCAACAAAGCCAACCCAATTTCTAAAGACCTAGAAAGAACGGTAGTATACTAAGCAGCTTACAACGAATCGTAGGATCGTTATAACTTCATTTACGATTTGATTCAGTGTAAAGCCGGTCAATTCAATACCAAACTACAAGTTCTATGTAATAGGCTCATTGATGGTATCCCGTTACAGGATCAAATCACATGCCAGATATTGAATGTCCAACAAATAAGGTTTTAAATGCCCCCTCAGATGTTTTTTAATGTAAATGACTGCACATCTGTCCCTAAGTCACAATGAACGCTTAAATCTTTATAAATAGTCTGGAAGGGATTAAAAGATCATTTGAATTTTAACATCACTTGTAAATATAAAAATCATAGTGATATTGCAAAAAAAAAAAAAAGAATTTGTTGTCATTTCAATATTCAAAAAACGATTTAGTACCATAAGATTTGGTCAGAGTGATTTCAAAATGATGATACGGATGATACATTTTCCTCCCAAGCAGAAAAATTTCAAAAAATTATCATTACTTTTTAATATATTACCTTGTGTCCGAAGAAAGAAATTAAGACACAACAATATCTAAACATGACGTGGGGGAGGGTTTATAACAACATTGGCACATCTACAATGACCATACAAATAACCTGTAATAGCATTGATCTTAGAATCACAAGAAAAACAATAGGAAATAAAAGACTTTGATGTGAGAAACAAAAACATTAAAGCAATTATTGCTGGATAAACAAAAAAAGTTTTAAAGGATAAACAGCAACAAAATAGAAAGGGACATTGATTGACAGACAGCTCAGCAAAAAGAAATCCTAAATAGTCAAGTGATGTGTATCAGTATCAAAACTCAAAAATTTCTCCAGAGGAACGTTTTCTGTTGCTTATGTTACTTCCATATAGCTGTCATTGTAACAAAAGGGACGTAAAACATTATACTCACGTTTTATGTTCAAAAGAAATTGACACAATTTATCCATTGTTTTCAGTTTGTTATGATAATTATGGTACCCCCTTCATTAACAGTAACAGCATACATATATATCTACAAGAATGTAAGATTTTCTTTCTATATTCACCGACATGTTGTTTATGGTGCTCTTATGGTAGATTTTCTCAGTTATGTTACTCTGTAGGCAAAGTCGTAACAAACAACGGTGTGACAACGATCAGTCATTCAGCACATGTTACAGCCAGGATCTTTCAAAAGTTTCATCAAATAACATTTTTAAAACATGCAGTCTCATCATTCTTTTATGTGACTACGTTTGTATAATCTATACTTTTCATAATGATCTTTCGTCTTAAGAATGTTAAAGTAAGTTCTAAAAAAAGTAGCCATTATGACTTTTTAGCCTCAATTTGTGACCTTATGATGGACTTACAGCTAGACAATGTGACCATGAACAGAAAGTTTCAGAAACACGCTATGCATGACAGTAAGTCAAGTAATGGACAATTTTCTACCTGAATTTTACAGCAGTCTGTGCCTGTATAAATTATGCAAATTTAGTGAAGTTTATATAAATTGGGAAGACATTCTCTATTTTTTTTTATTTTTCTGTATACATGTATTTTGGGACTTAAGCTAGAGTAAACAGTCCGTTTTCAACTGTAGAACAAGGTAAAAACAATCACTGATCAGTGTGTGACATTTAATCAAAACATTTGAATTGATGTTCTGTTCAGGTTAAGCTCCATAGATCTAATCATATCTATCAAATTGAATCTATTTCAGCTAACCCTCTATCCAGCTCAGAAACTATCACTGGTCTTAATGGTTTCTAAGTTCAAGGGACATAACTCTTAAAAGAACCAAATTTCAGTTCCATTATATTTTGTTACATTCTTCAGACTGGCATTATACATTATTTATATCTGACTTTAGTTATCAGGTTCCAGCGATTTATATCATACTTTATGAACACAAAGCATAAGATATATTTTACAAACAAAAACAGGTAAACAGCCACTACCATATATACAAGATATTTAATTTAGGTAAGTAAACCAACAACCATATAGAAACCAAGTGATGTGCCGGTGTGTAGAGTGGAAATTTTCAGGTCGTGGAAATATTTGTTAATTTCAGGTTTTATCTTTCCTTTTCTTTGTATTTCAGTGTAATATTACTGCATGAAATATTCTTCAAAGCAATTTCCTGTAAACCTTACTGAAGGAAACCTTCGTAAATGAAAAATCTCACGGCAGCATTATATCAATATGGAAATCTAAAACCGAAAATAGAAAATTTATTTCATGTTAATTAGCCTGAGTAGTCAACAATAAATATTTGGGTGGGCTTATTACAAGGAACAGTATATTAGTTACTGTCTCAACTGATCAGTAGGTATTTGATAATGTGTTAAATATGATGGCTTAATATATCAGAACAAGATGGTTAATATCCATACATGAAATTTCCACTCCTACAACTTGTATATACACGTAAGTGATTTACAGGTGAGAGAGACAGGTAAACATCAGAAAACGTTGTTTATTTTCTAATGATTTAACCACACAGAAAAACAACATCAGTAACACCATAATAATGACATATATACAGACAACACAGAGAAATTTCTTCATCCAAATCACATGTTCCCAATGTGAAGTTCATTCCACAGGAAGTTCAGGAATCTTTGATAAATCAGAAAGGATGTTTCCTAATTTTTTCACAATTATTCTAGGATCATTTATATTTCATAAAGGTTTATATCTAATCATTTAATTTATTTCACATTCAAGTATTAGAATGGCCACAAGAACAAAAAATACTATTTCAATATCTATAGACGATGAACTTCTGAATTGCTCCAGATGCCAGTGGTCAAATTTACATCTAACTGCAAAAGGGGATAGCCTCCTTACTGCTGTTAACTAACAGTCAAACTTCAATATTTTGAAAAAACTTCAAATACATTGAGAGTTTGAATCATTTGTGGTGGGTTATGATGTTCATGTTCATTATCATTGTTGATGACACAACAGTTCCAATTTAACAAATACAACAAATACCAAAACACAAATTTAAATAAAAAGGGACATTTTTTTTTCTTAAAGCAAAATATTTTCATTCATGAAACAAGAAACATAACTTTTTAAAGAAATTAATGAGAAATTGACAATACATGCTTAAAGCAAATATGTGCTTTCATGTACAGTATATGTATTTTACTGATCAATTTTCAGTGAAACAATGCACAGCATTTTAAATATTACAGTAACTATTTAAAGAGTGATACATAATGTTAAAGGCACTAATGAATTTGAAAGAAAGCAAATTAATATCAAAATATATCCTGTACTGAAACAATAGCACTAATATCACACATCTTAGGTCATAAAATTTAAAGTGTGTTTACTGATGTACTGACAACAGCTATTCTTAATCAATTAGAGAATGCATGATTGACAGATAAATCACAGTGTTTCTCATGATTTTAAGCTTAAAACAGAAACTTTATGCTTTGAGATTGAGTGAAATCATCATAAACGTGTTCAGGATTTTCTCTGTATGTTTTCAGAATTCCATGAAATATTACAGCCATGGTGACAGTGAACATCACATGATGTCCCTGATCTTTGTTGGCTCTTAAGTATGCAATGTCCAGTCATTATTTAAACTCGTAACACATAATAAATAGCAGTAAACTATCGTAATCCCTTTGTCAGGTAGTACTCTGTTGTAATGAGTCTGCTCTCGTGCAAAAATCTGTGCAGTATAGCTAAATGTTTTTTTTCAAATCATGAGGTGTCAATGACTTATCATAGCTAACAGTCTGTAAAAAACTTTGATACATTGAAAAGTTTGTTTTATAAAACTCTGGTTCATAAAGATGTAAGTTGGAAGTTATTCATTGAAGTTCGATTCATAGGAGTTTGACTATATATCAATCTTAGGGCTGGTATACTCAAAAACATATCAAACTCAAAAGTGAATACATTTTGTATCCTTACTTCCGAGTAAAAGTCAGTAATGTCTTAAACAAAATTTTATTTTAGTACATTTCTGTCTGCTTAAACCAGGCACACTAAAAGCTGGATTTTCTACATACAGATGCACAAAATGCAGTACAAATGCTGACATAACAAACAAACTAAATCTAGCATGATCCATGAGATGCTGAACATATACTAAATTATAGGAAACAAAAATACAACAAAGTACAATACAGAACTAAAAATATACTACCAAGGTAAACTAAGAAGGAAAAAAGAAACAAAAAAGGTTTAAACATGAATCTAATTGAACTTAAATCTACAATTAAAAAAGACAAAACATATATAGCAATTCAACTGAATTTTTATGAACAGATTTAATGAATTCTAATAATAATAAAATTACTGGGTTTTTTTTCAGTTACAACATGCATCTAGTAAGAAGTGTTATCATTAATTAATTATTTTTTTTTTATTAATTTTGTTCACCAATCATGCAAATAATTCAGCCTCACAGTGTTCAACTGTCTTTGTCTAATTTTTGGTCCTAAATTTCAAACTAAACTTTAAAATAGTTATCAGTCCTCCCTATGATAGGGTGAAACAGTTTCTAATTTTGGATACAAAGGACAAGTGTACACCACTTTGCCAAAGAAAACTTTCCTAGAATTTACTTGAGCCAAGATATGTACAAACATTACGATAGCTAACACCTTATAATTATATGTGTGATTCTTACATCAAAGAGCAGTATCAAATGTTTAATTAACTTCTCATCAAAAACATATAATCAATATTTTGGAATTATATTGTTGTAATGTTTGTCATTTACAGAAAAGTTTAGAACTTCTTTGATTCTAGGGATCATTGTTCACAAGAAATCAAAAAAATAAAAACAAAATGAGAAAGACAGTACACTGTGACATATCATAAACCATTCTTAAATTAAAATTTGTAAGAGTTGATTTCATGCCAAGATGAATTAGACATTGCTTTTGGGTGGTGATTAGAATACTAACCTGCTATGTGGTTCAGGGTGAAGTCTGGGGGACCTTGGCTGTACCTCTTCATGGTCACATTATCATTGGAGTTAATTTGTGTCGGCCTAAAGATGATCTGTTCCTGATCCTGGGAGTAAACACTGCTTCTTTCCAATGGCTAAAACAGAAATATTTCTAATTAGTACGACTATATCCTTATTGTACGACAAGTTTTTTTTTTAATCTTTATGACACCATATTATGGTAAAAATGGAAATCCAGTAAGTAGATATTTTAAATAAGTAAACAAATATTCTTGACTTTTTGCTTAATATTGCATCAATTACATATGTACCTACATCACATTAATTATGTACAACATTTCTTAATTTAAGGGGATGTTATGGCTCAGTCAACAAGAACACAGGTATATGTAACCTCAGTTGAGGTGCAAGGTTTCATTCTCCCTGCCCATGAGAGTTTGTATTTCTTCAAAAAAATATGTGCCAATGTGTCCTTGATCAAAACATTTTATCCTAATTGCTCTTGACAGCATGAGACGGGCCTCCTGTATGTTGTTCAGTGAAGTAGCTACCAGATACTACAAGGAGACCAGCATGCCTAAAAGAGATGGGCTTGCTGTATTAATTGCAAATATATATATATATTGGTTATAAATATTTCTGTTCTAAGTTGTATTTAACATGCAACACATGTAGACCAATGAGGCCAAAATATTTCTTATGACTCAATGTGGGGTCAGGCTTCTTATGAAACAATGGAAGTTAATAGCATTTGCTGTAGTCTTACTGAATGGTAAAATATATGTTTTGGCTTTTTTCCATATATGGGCCAATTGCAAGATAAATGAGGTGGCACACAGAATAGAGAAAGTGTAAGGGAAGTAACTCAAAATTTACTTTTAGCCATAAGTAAAAAATTAATTCAACCCACTTTGTGAAGAATACATCTGTTATGAGCTTGTTTTGGAATCTTTTAACGGAAAACTATCCTTAGCATACAGGTATATATGTGTCCAGTTCCATACTAATATTTATTCTGCTTCTTTCTTATTTTTCTTCTTTTTCTTGTGTATTTGTTAACCTGGTGTAAAATGTTTTCCTTTTAAGTGCTGATGGGGTGAGAGTGAATTGCGAGCAACCCTAACCCCCATATTGGAAGATACCCAAAAGTGGGAAGAGGGGCTTAATTGTATGGTAAGATAAGATAAGTTTATATCGAGTTCAGGATGTGAAGAGTCCTATTTACCAGACTCAATAATGTATGTTATGTTTCAAGATTCTATAATAAATAAATAAATTATGTATGTCTCTCATAAAACAATGTTTCTTAGATAGTAAATTCAATAGTTAAGTTATTTCAGCTCTATAATTGAAGAAAAGTTCTTGGTTCTTCCAGTAACGGTCTAACTCATTTTTAAACCTATAGACAATGTTTGCAGTAACAATATGGTCCGGCTATTTGCAGTAGAATATGCTACATAAGTTTGAGCATGCTGAGTTCAAAAGAAAATTATAGAACACTTTTTCATTACCTGGTATTTACTAAAAAAGTTTAAGGGTATTGTTTTTTGGTTTTCTGCTCACAGCAGAGTCAGATTTAACTTACATTTCTGGTTGAGCCGAGGGCACGGCCAGCAGTGTTATACGTTTTACTACTGATGGAAGGAAGGATCTGAAGAGATTCAAGTGTTGAGTAGGACGAAGACACATTAGTCTGTAATAAAACACAGGCATGCAGAAAGACAGAGAATTAATGTGTTAGTTAGGGCTTGCATTGAAAAACATAAATAAACAAAATTTCTGGTTTCAGTCTTAGACCAGCATTTATCAAAATTTTTTGATGATTTATTTGGGGAGTGAGAGAAGGGAAATGACTACAATGTGCTTCAAACAGATTAGGGGACAGCTTCAATGCAAACCCTATTATTAGTGATAATGTAAGGCAGGTAAATATTTGAATTCCTTCCATGCAAAATCTAATGTTAGTAATAAATGTTTTTAGATATATGTAATAGGACAGAGTAATGAATAACACCCGGTCACCGCTGGGGTTCAAACTAGCGACCCTTCAGTCTCTAGCCAGACACTCTACCACTTGACTAAGGAAAATTCCCACTAGCCAAGGCTAGTAAGGTGACCTTTACTCTCAACTTCTACATATATGAGGATAATTTCAAAGTATATTCAGATATCAGTGAGTACAATTACACACGAACAGCTGTTCTTAAATCAGTCTGAAGGTCCCTGCTGTTGTTATAGATAAATACAAATGTAGGATCAACTTAAGCAAAATCCCAAATCACCACAAAATTAAAAACAAAAAATCATGCTTTGCTTGTTTTATAGATATGCAACAGTAAAAGTGGGGAAAGAATCCACATCTAGTTATTGAAACACACATCTTGTAGATATGTGAAAAGGTACATTATACTATTAAGAACTTTTTTCTTTTTCCAAGTTCCAGCTTTTATCTATGCCACCTAACAATGGTTACTTGAGCTACTTGTTGAACACTTAAAATATGATCAATGTTGATTTAGATAGGAAAAAAGAGGCTACTTGTAATTTCTGCATTCTTTCCTGGTGTACATAAGTGTGCATTATCAAACTTGAATTGATTTTGTCAGAATAATCCTTATGCTTTTGATATATTATAGTGATTTTCCATATATGCCTTTGATAAATCGTTATTTAGACTATCGAAGACTTTGAGGATTTTCAAAACTCCTTTCACATTACAGAATTTATTTATAAGAAATTCGTCAAAAACTTGTATTTAAGTATGTAATATATATATACTTGAATCTCTAGGAACTACCAAGAAACAAACGTGAGCTATTAATGGGTTTATATCCATAAGATATAACTTGAATCAAACACCTTACTCTAACAGTTGTTAGGAAGTTTAATAAATTCAGCTGTTTAATTGTACAAATTTAAACGCAACCAACCGCAGCAACATAAATGAACAAATGGGATATTCGTCATTCATTCTGATAAAACGTGCAAGGCATTAATTGAATTAAAGAATTAGTAAGGTTAGTGTAGACTACGGTAATGTTTTCTTGTTTATGTGTGACATAAATTATTCACACAAAAAAATATTGGCACCACAACATGTTTTCTGTACCTCTTTTGGTATCGCTAGTCTGCTTCTGGGTTTGTTGAACATAACTGACAACACACCACTCCTAAAAAGTCGACAGATGTGATATTCATACACATCTGCCCATGGTCAAAACACATTTTCATCAATTTTGTTGCCACAGCAGTTGAAATATCCCTCCAATTCGGTTGGCATCGTCCTTAACAGAACCGCCATATTGAATCATAGGAAGCTATGTGTTTTGCGCATGCGTAGTAGACCTCTTGGAAAGGTCATTTTTTTCATGGTTCACATTGTCGGAGCAGACGTGTGGTTAGAGGGGACTGTATTCACAAGTTCCTGACATCGTGTTCAAACATCTGAAACAGAAGTAATTGATCGGGTCAAGATAATATCATGTCTTTCGACCCCACAGGTATTACATTTTTTTAAATCAAACTTCATCAGAAAGAAAAACGTGTTTGTGAAAACGGGCACCTGTCAATTTTACCGGACGGTGTGCGCCTAAAATTTTACCCATGATTTTATGATCGAATTCGATTTAGTACTACATAGGGCTAGTGTTATCTAATTTACATAAGATAATAATTCATTAATTCAACACATACTTGTGCTTTATTTATCATAAATGATTCAATTGACTATGTTACACATGAAGATAACTAGTTCATATTTAAATACGAGTAGGTATTTATGTATACAAAGCGTTACTGTTTGTGTCTACATGATGTATATTTAATTCAAAATTGCTTAAAAACATGGAAATATGTTCGAAGAATTTGAAGAAGTACTAAGATCTTATCAGTTCTCACTTTTTATTGTTACTTTGCAGTTTTTATATTAGTAGTAAACTAACCCTTAAATGACAAATATACATGAATAAGTTGGAACCATCAGATTATATTGCTTCATTGATGACATGGCCCTAAGTTCTTTTATATTGAAATCCAACTGTAAGATTTGAATTTGATTTCTACAGAACACCAACATATACGTTTCAATCCCCTGAAGGAGGAATGGGTGGTTGTATCTCCACACCGTATGAAAAGACCATGGGCAGGCCAGGTGGAGAAACCTGAGGAAGAAAACATCCCAAGACACGACCCAAAAAATCCTCTTTGTCCTGGAAACACACGACCTAATGGGAAGGTAATCTATCAATTAGAGCATTGTTATAAAACTTTAAGACAAAGACTGGAATGTTTGCTTACTGGTGTTGCTCTGCATGATTCTTGAAGCCATCTTTGATGTCAAGATATGGAATCAAGGATTATTTGAATGTGCAGACTCTAACCAAGACTTCTTTCAGCTGATGGTTTAGTGACTGTGGTACTTGAATTACTACTTGTCCAGAAAGACTTCTTTATTGCCTTAATGTCTCGTCAGTCCCACTGCCATAGACTTTTGCCAAATGACTGTTTTCTATTCTCCTGACTTTCTTTGTGATACCTGTTTCCTGCAGCATTCTCCATATTAACTGCTGGAAACCCACAGCTGTCAAACCATCTAGAGTGCTTGCAGTAGGACATTGGAATAATTTTCCTAAGACTTCCTTGTGGTCTTTCCTATTCCTGACCAACTGATTGGCACAAGTCAAACAAAACTCATTTCTGTTTTCTCTCTCCAATGTTTCACATGCAGGATATTTACTTTCTTGCAAGACTGTCTCACACTCTGCAAGAATTTGTGGCAACATGCCTGCCTGGTGTACCGCTAACAGCTAGTAACATCTGCTGTTCGGACCATATTAATGTAAGTTGACAGGTAATAGAAGACTTTGACATGACTGACCACAAGATAATGAATATTCTGAAGGTCTCCATTCTCCACAACTCTTAATTTTTGTGACTTTCTGCCTATTATATCCTTATCATGCTTTGTCTTCGTTATTTTTGTCCTCCTCCCTTCATATCCTGCTCTCTACGCACCCGCTGAATTTCTTTTTATTTGATGAGCTATTGATGTACATCATATGAAAAAGACAACCTTTCTAATTGGCATTAAGCCCATTCCTGGTGGTAAATCCAAGAATATTTTCCTGTCTGGTGGAATTACATTCAAATCCTAATTTATTGTCTTGTAAGAAGCCCACCGCTGACTTTGAGTCAATAGGTAATGTATCGTTACAATCAGGGACTAACTGAAGGATGTACAATGTACACTTATGTAAGTTCAAACCTATTTCTATCTTTTATGAACACTGCTGATTTTTAATATAACCTTTGTACATTTGTTTGATTACAGGTCAATCCCGACTATGATGGTACTTTCCTGTTTGATAATGATTATCCTGCCTTACTGGAAGTCGTTCCTGAACCTGGTAATTAATATATTTCTATTTGTTTATTACATGGGGAAATGTATACTCTAATTATATTAATTCAAAACACTCATGTTCATAATTACATATAATTATATAATTGTTGGACAAGCTATAGTGGATGTCAGACCAAGTTGTTCCTGATTCCATTTTCTGCAGTCTATAAGCATGACATTTGGTAGCAATGGGAAATACTTCTTACTAGAGTATCGATTTATCAACATATTATATATTATTCTTAGTCGAGTGCATAAAAGTCACCTCATACCATCTGTATATGCCTATTAGTCACGTCTTGTATATTTGTAATAAGTGCACTAACCTATGTATTGCAGTTTTGATAGAAACACCATACCCTGGATAGAATTATATCTTTGTCCAGTAATAAGTCCAGCCTCTGAGTTTGGTAATAAGCCAACCCTCTGACTTTGAGTCAGAGGTTAATGTAGTCCTGCTGAGGTTGAGGTTCTGTACTAACCGACCCCCTTTCTTTGATTTCTGGATTTAATGCAGAACAAATATTGTAAATCCAGAAAAGAAACTCCATCACAAAATAACCAAAAATAACAAAATCTGTATTAGATTCACAGATATTTATGTATTTCTTTTGTGTTTGATTGCTAGAGAAAAGTGATAACCCACTGTTCCAGTCAGCTGCTGCCAGGGGTACATGTCAGGTGATGTGTTTCCATCCTCATACTGATGTTACCCTCCCCATCATGACACAGGCAGAGGTACGGGCTGTCATTGACAAGTGGGCAGAGATCAACACAGACCTTGGTAAAAAGTTTGAATGGGTTCAGGCAAGTATTTCTTTCTTCATACAGTAACTGGTGGTTAGTGTGTTTAAGTCTGAAAGAATGTTTGGGCTGAGGCCCAATTCCTTATAATTGAAATGGCTCTCACTCTTATTTAGAGATAATTTCTAAAACTTGTACTTTTAAATCTGTTTTAAACACCACCTGTGTATAACTAAATGCCTGTCTTTAACAGCCACTTGTTCCAGATCCCTATGTAATACAAATGATAAGAATTAAACCTCACATACAGTCCACCTGTCTTTAAGGGTCACCTTTCTCCTCAACCTTCACTGACCTTTATAGACAGGTTTGATTGTAATGTACTCCTGAAAATTTGCTTTCTGATGGATTTATTTTCCTAGCATAATGAGGACAAATTTGGACCCAAAGTGACTTGAAAAAAACCCAAGGTAAAAACTTGCTTTGTGTAGCCAATTTGTGATGATGGATATACAAAAGAGGTAGTATGAGCTGAGTACATACAATTTACTGCAGCTCATCAGAATTAATTTAGTACTTCATGAAATTTTCGGTCTATACAATAAAAAGATCTTTCTTTTTTTCAATTTCAGATTTTTGAAAATAAAGGTGCTATGATGGGCTGTTCTAATCCCCATCCACACTGTCAGGTTAGTAAGACATTAGTTTTTAGCTTCAATACAATCTCATAATGTACATTTATTATTATGAAACATTCTCTTTTTACAAATGGTTTGTATATTTCTATAACATAAGTAATTTAGTTTGAAAATGTTAAAAATAAGATTTCACTTAATTAAATTAACTACCTGTACATGTCTCAGGATCATCTATGGTATGATCCAGTACACCAGACTCAAGTTTTACAAGATTTGATTTTTGTCTGAATAAATCTGTCTGTAGATCTGGGCAAGTTCCTTTATACCTAATGAACCTTCAGTAAAAGACAGAACACAGAGACAGTACATGGAGAAACACAAAAAACCGTTACTGCTGGATTATGTACAACAGGAACTGGAAAAGAAGGTTTGTTAAAAGGTTTTTATAAATTTGCAGACTGTGGGACCAGAAAAAGTATACAAAAGAGAGCTAGTTAGAGCTGTTATTCCATTTAGAGATCTTTCTGACATTTCCTCCTATCTATGGTGGAGATTTCTTCATATCTTCTATATAGATTATCAATTTTAACAAATGCCAACTCTAAATAAATCCTGAAGTCGTTAGATAGGATAGATTTATTATCGTTGAGGCTTAGATCGGATTTATTATTAAAGCATGGGCCCAAAGACTAAATCTATGACTTGTTTTGAGAAACATTGAAACACTGCACATTTTGTGGAGTGAAATCAGTTCTGCATGAGCTCACAGTCCGAAAAGCACTGGCCTACGTAACCTCAGGTGAAGATCCGAGGTGTTGAATTTGACAGTTCCTGCCTTTTGCAGTTTGTGTTTTTTGGAAAATTGAAGCATACCAGTCTGCTGCAGTGGTTGTGTCCACGGGCAAGACAATTTTCCCCAATTTCTCTGGGTGGCCTGAACACCTGGCCACCAAGTTGTCAGGTAGCCACTGTCTGCTTAGTGGAGATCCACCTCAAAATAATGCAGGCTCTTTTTGGAGTGGTGTATCCAGCAAAGAAATATTTCAGTGGACCTGCATTGTACTCGTTACTTGAAAGAATATTTTACTTTTAAGATCAATCTATAAAAATTCATCAGAGTTACCTCTCTTGTGTAATTCTCCAATATATGTTAATATATCAGTACTGTTAGCTATATATATATACATATTCAATATCTTTCACCTTATAACAAATTCTAACTCAGGTGTGAGGCTATGGAATGAGACATGATGAAGATATTTTTCTTTATTTGTTGAACGGCTGATTTAAATGTCAGAACATTAAACAGCCTTCCATATTGTTTTGATACTTATTTTAAAAATTCTGGTTTCTTCAGGAGAGGGTGATACTACAAAATGACTGCTGGGTGTGGCTTGTTCCTTACTGGGCAGTCTGGCCATATGAGACAATGTTGTTACCACGGCGACATGTACTGCGGATACAGGATCTTACGGATCAGGAAAGGGAATGTAAGATTGGAGTTATTCAAACAAAATCTTCTCCTTATCTAAAGTCAATTTTCTCTCTTCAGTGTTACATTATTCTTCAAATCCCAACAGAATCTCAGAATTAAGAGATATTACTAGTAGAATATACACAAATTTATGGTGTAAACTGGGGTCAGAACACAAACCTCACCATTGGATACATCAGAAGATAGATTTGCAGATATTTGTCAGTTGACATTCTGTTGGAGCCAGAAATGTTAAGTTTGGAATTGCAAACATTTTTATTTTTAAATCATCATCCAAGTTTCTTTACCTTTTTAATTCAGTCCTCCTTTGTGTGATCATTCTTAAGTGAAGAGTTAAGGTAAGAATGTTTGTCTTCTGCAGCTCTTGCTGACATAATGAAGAAACTGTTGTCTAAGTACGATAACATGTTTGATATCTCCTTCCCATACTCCATGGGCTGGCATGGTAAGTATTTGGTTCTTTTGCCTATAGTTTCATAGTCAAATTCAATTAAATTGATCAAATTGATGATAAAAAACCCTGAAAGCATTCTTTTCTCCCAATTTTGGCATGAATCTTGTTAAAATATGCTTTATGGAATCATATTGATAACAATCTTATTTTAAAACTAATGTATAAATATTGTAATTTTAACCATTTTACAGAAAAAAAACTCTCATGGAAATTGCTTCACCTATAATTCTTGTCAGATTTGATTGATACAATTTAGAATAAGAGATTTGTTGTGCTTGTGTCCAGGTGCACCGACAGGTAAGATGTATGAGAAGGACAATAACCACTGGCAATTACATGCCCTGTACTACCCTCCACTACTGAGGTCAGCCACAGTTAAGAAATTCATGGTCGGCTACGAGATGTTAGCACAGTTCCAAAGGGATTTATCTGCAGAGCAAGTAAGTTTTCATTGCTGAAATTGCAGTCCTAGAGAGGTGTATGCTCTTAGAATGTATACACAGTGGACCTGTGATAATCTGGATGTTACTCCAGGAAACTTTCAATTCACACAAAAATGTTGAGGAACAGATATTTTAAATGTTAACTGTACTCACCCATCTGGAAATTCCCATTCTTGTTCCTGAAATACTTTTGGGTAATTGAATGGACTTATCATTGTACGGTGTAAAATTCCTGCTATAGTCCCAACATTTGTTGTTATCACATTAAGAAAATTATGATCAGTCACCTGTGCCAAAGGTACACAGCATACCACTAGACAGAAAGAAAGAATGTGATTAACACTTGATATAAATCATAGAAATTCAAACTTGATTAGACAAATAACAATGGAGTCATCATCACAGTCAATTTAGCTGACTCACTTAATTCTAAAAATACATTGTAGTATAGTTCCCGATGACAACAAATCATCTTATTCATCAGGAGTTTAGGATTGGTATTGTGTCACAACACTTGTAAATCACTGTATGCAGTGCATACAATATTCAGGAACATGAGTTATTAAATATTTTTAAGGAAAACATCACAGTTGATACCAAGCATTAAATAAATCATTCATGATGTTGGACTTGAATGAATAACAGCAACTGTCATTTTGGAAATTCTAATTCATATACAATTATTTATGAAAAAGAAATTAACTGAGGCAGTGATAAATGTAAATACCTGCATTCACAATAAATACTATCTAGACATTCTGAAAACAATCAACAGCATCATCCTGACAACTTTATTGCCATGTAATTAAGACGAATAACTCCGTGTAAAATCTGCAGGTTGGAAAACTTGAAATAAGTCTGATTTGTGCTGTGCATGAAAGGGTGTAGATTATCAAGAGTCCACTATTTTTGTTTCGAATTTAATTATTTTGACTCCCTAAAGTTATGTGAGATTTTTCAGGTTCAGAATTAAGTGAAATGGTTTTTCCAATGGAATATATACCAGTATCATATTTAATAAAACCAAAATTTTCAGATATTACCTTATCATATCATGTCCCAAATTTTCTCTTTCGAAATTTTGAGTAGAGATAATTGGAGTTACACTGATAACAGCAGGGGCCATTTTGTTAAAAGTATCTATTACAATTCTTTGAATACAAGCTACACCTTACCATATATCTACCCTCACTGTTGCTGTCTACTCAATGGTACTCACTTTGGCACTTGGTTCAATTCTTTGGAGAAATACAATCTCTACCCTGTCTGGGAACATGTTCATTATATGAAAGTCCCATATTTACAATTAAATTAGATGATGAAATAGCAATATACATTTTCTCCAATATTATAGAGTACATTGTTAATTTGTAGATTGACATGTTTATGATAATTCTCATTGACGCTCTCTCTCTACTGTTTCAGGCTGCAGACAAATTGAGAAACTTACCAGATATCCACTATAAACTTTGCACAAAAGAAAGCAAAGATTGACCTCAACACATAGTTGGGTCTAGTATTTATTAATTTATTGAAAGGGTGATACTTAATTCCACTAAACATGCTCACTTGGTGCTGCTGTCTCGTTAATGATTTTTTTTTAACCATCTTGTTGAGTTAATCAAGATTCTAGATAGTTGGGTTGGCATGAACATCATCAGGTTTTGTGATGTAATGCATGCCTTTTTTTTGTCCTGTTGTGTCCACACATTTGTGATGTTTTTTTCTGTCAGTTCATGTATGATAGAAATGCAAAACAAACATTCGAAACCTCTCTGTAAAATCATGTATTTAGTGGGGCTCATTTTTGGCAGTTTTTCAAAAATTAACAACTTTATGGAAACATTATTTCATAGATAATAATAGCGCAATAAACATACTTAAACTTATTTTAACAGTTCACGGACATATAAAGTGGTTGATTAAGAGCGCCCCCCAAGATCAACAGAAATCCCCAACAAAAATTAATGATTTCACAGTATACATTAAGGGTACACATGGAAATGGAGAAATCTGGAATGCTTGTCCTTGTACAGGATTTCTTCTTCTTGATAATCTTCCAATCTACCTGGGAATGTAGGACCAGTGAATTACAGATGAACTGATGTGTGTAGCATTGTTATAATTGTCTTTGAAGAGTAATCAATCAAATGGTTAATAAATCTTATTTCAGAGTTGATTAGGTTAAATCAAGGTTTTAGCATTAAGATACATATCTTTAAGTAATCAGGTAAAGAGTATCCATGCATGATCAAAAGGACTTCTTGTAGAAATTCAGAGGTTTCTTGGCGAGTAGTTTTATTCCTAAGACAATCAAAGGCAAAAATAATGTCAAGAGAAATGGGAATTTGACGAGATGGCAGATTTAAAGAAAACAAGTCCCTTCTGGTGAAGTCATATTAATGTAAAATGGTCAATCAGTAAAACAATCATGTGATAACTGCAGTATTAAAATATACACTTGTATAGTATTGAATTTGAAGTGTATATGAATTTCACTCCAATGTGTGTATGCGTGCATGCATGTGTGTGAAAGATGATATATGTTATACCGATATTGCAATATGTTTGTTTTCAAAAGATACCGAAATCAATCAAGAATCATACAAAACTAGGTAATATAAGATAATTTATAGTTTTAACAAACCAAAGATAAACAAGTGTAAACAGTATTACAATTTTGATGTTAAAGTAGTTTAGAAAGAACCGTTATGTTTATTTTGACATTTCTTGAGGGGATTCCATTATTTTAGGTGTACAGTGCCAGCTCTAAAGTGTAGTTGATGATACTTATGAATGTTTTAATGATTCTTGTATTTATCTGACAATAAGCCCATGCCTGGTAATAAACCAACTCATATCTATTTATTTAGATTTTAATAAAAACAATAGCTACTAGTTTTGTAATAAGCCCACCCTCAATTTTAAGTTGTACATTCATTATGATTATGCAGGTTAAATACAGATAGCTGGGTGGTACATTAGTACTTTAAGCTTTTATGATGCATAAAAACTTAAGGATACGAATGAGAAAGGGGAAGAAAAGTAGAAATAGAGAAGTAATATATAATGATTTCTGTAGTCTTATGTTGAAATGAAACAAAAATAGAACACATTTGTAAGTGAGACTTGATACTAACTAGTTTGGTATTGTTTAGAGATAATTTTTATATTGTGGAGACAATCATGTGATGTAAATCATTTATCATATTTTATTAGTGTTATTATATTTGTATCAGTATCAGACATGATGGTGAAGTGTATTACAAGGCTGAATAGGGGCAATTAGGTACTGAATCAATATCTTTGATGATTAGATGTCAAATAATATGAGACTGAAAATAATATCACAAATGATTCAAGAATGTATTCTGATGTTTTCATCTTATAGTTAAAGGTTTATCTAAAATACTGACACATTCTGTTTCAGAATAAAGAATTATTTTGATAAATGTATGCATGATGAAGTTTTAATCTTACTTGTAAATTACCCATATTTCATCAATTGTAAGTTTGAATTAAGATTTTATGAAAATGTTGGTATTTTCTTGTTTTATATTAAACATGGTGCAAAGTTTCATTATGCAAAGACTGTACACTGTACATGTGTATGTTCTACCTCAAACCTGTCTGAATAATGTTGCTGATACAAGTATAGAAGACCAAGTCTGCAACAAGTGTCCAAATTCTGACATCACTATGGATCATTAAAATGTGATATATTTTGTCCAAATTCCGACATCATGATGGATATTTTGTTTAAACTCTCAACATCTTAACAAGTACCGCTATTTTGTTTGATTTCTGACATTGTAATGGAGATTTTGTCTCAATTCTGACATCACAGTAAGAACTGACATCACTGATTATATTTCCTGAATTCTGACATCACAATATTTTGTCTGGATTCTGACATCACAATGAAATTTTGTCTGAATTTTGTCTTTTTGAGTACTGAGTAGTCAACTGCATGTATGATAAAATAGTATAGACATTGCATCAACAGTATTTTCTAGTAAATTGTTATTTTTGGGAAATTTATTGCAATATTATTGTATATGTAAATCCGGGGAAAATCTTCAGCTGGAATAAAGAATTTTATATTCATTGATTGTTTGTCTATTCAATTGATTTCTAAGTAAACTTTGGAGTATTTTAGATGTTAATACAGATATTTCTGTTCTTGTTAAAGTTACAGGGTACTAGATAACACATGTATCAAAAAGATCGTGAGTTATAATACTACTGAATAGATTTTAAAAACTGCAAATCATGCCATCATTGCAGATACTCAATTTCAATATCAATGGAAATTGATGGTATTAGTATTAGAAAATTAAATCCAAGAAATTCTGTCCTTCAACATTATCAGAGCAGAGCATGCTTTTATTGACAGTAGGGTTAATAAGAAAACGAAAATTAAATTTAATATCAAATTAGTATTTTATGGGATAACTGTGCAAGTATTGAAAAGAGTTGTAATTTATAAAATACAGCTTAACTTTAATACAAGAAAATGCATAAGATATATTTCTTAGAACTAACATGTTGGCGAAGTATACATTCATCAACTCACAGGTTATATATCCTTTTTGTTTTTACATTACAGAAATAGGAAAAATTAAAAATAATGAACATAAAAATATGGTACAATGTTTATTTAGCATTTCATTCATAACGTATTCAACAGAACTCGCTTTTTATCATATCTAACATGTGCTGTATGGAAACAAGTAAGCCAGTAATGAGATTCAATCTAGTTGATGAGTTCGTATATATCCATTAAAAAAACAAAGAACAACCACCTTCATAGACTCAACTAGCAACTATTTCAGGGTATTTTGCTAGAGTGAAAGATACTAAAAGGTAAATTTGAAAATATTGTATACATAAAGATACGTGAAATTAGATTAATGTTTTATTGATAAAAATGACTTCACATCGAAAGTAAGAAACAACTACACATTAATCACAGGCACTTACAAAGTAATTTTAAAGACTGAAATGTACAGGAATGTTGATATGTATGACAACCAATAATATACAATATAAAGCACTTACCAGAGAAATTATTCAAAATTGACAAAATGGTCAAAATAATACTAGGCTTCCAGGTATCACAAAGAATGGCTCAGGCTTTCAAAGTAAAACTAGTTCAGTATAAAGTTCAGTTGTTTAAATTTGAGTCCCAGTGACCTCATGTTTTGTGAATGACCTTCAACTTCATTGGTCATAATGCCCCAATTTCCATATCATGTTATTAAAGGTATGAGCCATTACAACAATACAAATATTAGTGAAGCAACAAAAATCTCATCATATTTCTGTATAATTTTACTGAAATTGGTTCCAAATTTATTGACAACCAAATATTTTGGAAAATACTATCATTGTAAGCACCATTCTTCAAAACCTTAACATGTTAATTTTCAGCATGAACAATTGATCAATCAGATGATTCCATTCTGTTTCCATAATAATGGCACATTTTGTGTCAAATCAAAGCCTTTTGTTAGTAATAATACACCATTTAACCTAGTTTCAATTAAATTGACCTCAGGACTAAGGAGCTATAGACAACTATTCAAAACACCCGTGTGTAGTGATCTGGTTACTATTGCAACTAAAATTATGAAAAAATGACATCATGTTTTGCGAAATTGTACTATTGTAATTACCAATATTTGAAAAACCCTTTTATATCAATTTTCAGCATAATTGGACAGTATCTAAGTTTTGACCAATCAGAAGCCACTATTATGTTTCTTACGTGCGGGTTCTAGAATCACCTGATTTGTCAAATTGTAAGGTTTGGTGAGTTATACTATTTGACCAAGTTTCATCAAAACTAATTAAAAGGACGGAGGAGTTATAGACCATTACACAACAAGAGATCCCAGAGGGATCTTGGCGCCCACCATTTGAGGATCTGTTTTCAGTTCTTGATTTGATTATTATTTTTTTTTTTGTGTTACAGGTTTTGTAAATGTTCATGAACTGGTCTTCATTGAATGTACTCAATGATGGCACAAGATATTTTTATTAAGCACCTATGAGCAAATATCATTTGAAAAAGATCGAAAAGTATTATTAGATAGCAGTCAGTTACAGGTGGATAATGGACATGGTCTTGAATCAATATGATAAAATATCGAAGAAAATATGCTTGTGCTGTATTACTGTCGACATCCAAGATGGCTGCCTGTGGGCCAACTTGATTTCAAATCAGTTAAAAAAAAGTACAATGCATAACTAGGGACCAAGGGAAACCAATACCTATGAAATATCAGAAGTATCCATCCAGTACTTCCTCAGAAATAGCGGTAACAAGATTTTATTCTCAAAATCCAAGATGGCTGATCAGTCCAAAAAAGGTACAATGCACAACTAGGGATGGACGGACGGACCACGGACGCAAGGCGATTTAAATACCCCACTATCTGATGATGGTGGGCTAAAAATCTGTGTGTTTTTACCTGATTACCCTGGCAACAAAAATTTCTGCTAAAAAAAAAATGCTGCATGCATATCTACACATGCTCACTAACATTCCTGTGTAGTTTCATTGAAATTGGCTCACATATATAGGAGGGGTTTTCTGGACAAAATTTTTCTAGACAGGCAGTCCAGACAATCCAATTTCATTATACCTAGTATGATGTATATAGATTCATTTCATCATGACTTTAAAAACTCCTTGTCAGACTATTCAATTCACGCATTATCACATATTAAGTACAATTGTGAAAACTCTTAGATAGGTGATAGAGAATAATGTAAAACATAATAATCCCATGTCTTCTATTGCAGTTTCAGTAGCAATGCTACATCATCATTGTAAATGCAACAGTGCAAGTATTAAGATAATGTCTTCTATAACATCTAATCTTGATATACACGCCTTCACAGCACCCTCAGAGTATGGACATAATAAAATCAAAGGCTCCATGTTTATAGAAACCAAATTAACCTTTTGATTGGTTCTATATTTCAAAATCTGACCAATCACTAGACTGCTTTCACATCCTTTGACGATAACTAAAGTGTTACAACACAAAAAAAGAGGCCAAACCTTTATTCTATCACAAATTTCCTATCTTTATATCAAATGTTACTGATTTTGTAAGGTTCAAGGTTTAAACAGTTAATCTGAATGATCTGCAAGACAGCACAAAGAGAAGCTTTAAACTTCCTTATGACAAATGCCATGAATAAAGAACTCCTGTATGTAGACAAGGATTGGTAAATGATAAAAACAGCTACGCAAAAAAGCACAATTCTAATATGAATCTTTTAACAAGAAACTTGCTTATCTAAGAAACATGAATAACAACCATTTCTTTTCATTTTCATTTCAAAACAATACTGCACCTTGCAGTTCAATAATTCCAATTGAAGTTGCCACTACATACACTGACATAAACTTCATTTCCCAAACACATTACTGAAATAAATGTTACATACCGGTAATGAGTGACAAACTTTCATCAGAGTTTCAAGTTATGCAAGCCTGTGAACACCTTAGCTTGGGTATACTCCTATCTCTGATATTGATACTGACCATTCCTGATTTCTCCATTTCCATTACCATTAGTGCATTCAAGAACTTTGTTTAGAAGATACTAGGGTATAACCTAAATTTCCATGGAATGCTTTATAAATAAATCAGAATTTCAGAATACATTAACCTCTCGAAAACAATTTGGTTCTTCCTGAACTTTTTAAAGGCTTACCCTGCCAAGTTTTCTTGATATTTTACCTTCAGTTCGTTTTTCATTTAAAACACTTTGAAACAAATTGAAAAACAGACTGGCAAATAAACTATATTTATTTTCATAAAGCTGATGAAAATTGTTTCTTTAATTCATCCATAGTTTTAGTATATGATACATTAAACAGAACAATGACATCACAACCACTGTCTTCTGTAGCAGACATCCATTTTATAATAACAAACAAAAGAAACAAAAGTATCTGTATCCTAAAAACACACGTCTAACCAACTGAGTAACCCATAACACTCACAATGAGTAATAATCTTTTCTAAAAATAGCTCACTTTCATTATTCTGCATGCATCTTAAGCTCCAAATTACCAACATCAAAGTTTCTAATATCAATTTTCATTAATTTAGTACTTGTGGTCAAACAAACTTAATAATCTGCATGATGAACAGATGAAAATATTAATATGGCATGATTTTAAAACAAATATACTTTTCTGAAACAGCCTATCATGTCATTTCAGTGTTTCATAAGTATATCAAGCTCCAACAGTGATAAATTCTACATGAAATGTAATTATTTGCAAACAGCCAACAAGTTCACTTTTAGGTTTATCAATCCTCGACCAAGTATCAAGTTAACTTTGTTATAAACCTCAAAAATATGCCAATGATTATTGCTCTGTAAAAGAAAAACAAAGAATATTTGGTACATTTTCATACACCTTCATACTGATGTGATCATCCTTCCATTTTAAGGAAAGTGTTTGACTTTGAGTCTCTATTTTCAGGGAATTCCACCACTACACAGATACCAAGATATGATCCTTTTTTCCTTGAAGTCAGAATGTTTTCAAAATATTCCTTTTCTTGTTGATCTGCAGTAATTCTAGATTTTTTTTTAAATAAGAAAAAAAGCTTACATTTTATATATGTGATTGATTTTTCGGTAAAGTAACATTGATCTTTGAACTTTGAAAATAAATTCAAGATATTCTCACATTAACTTTTGAATTATATGACAGTAATTGGGAACAGAATAGGCCAGAGAGGTACATATATTATAACACCCCATGCAGCCCTGCCCATATGATAGCAGGGGTGAAATATTTAACTTGTGTCTCTTTTGCCATCTTTGATCACTTCCCTGAGGTGAAGCCTGTTGCCCAGCTATCTGACCAAGGCCTTTATTACGTCGTTTTCATGGGTGTCAAGCGTACGTCTCCAGTAAGTTTGTGCTCCAAACATGGCACACTCTTCATTCCATGGTAAGCTGTGCCTTGCATATTGGAGGCATTATTGAAGGCCACCCTGCGACTGATATCAGTAAGGATGGGCAGTACGCTGATGCATTTCTGCTTTCTTATGTGCTTGATGAACTCCAAGTATAACGCAGACAGCAACCAACCTCCTTCAGTGTCCTCAGACCATGCCACCATTTCTAAATTAAGAAATAATCATAACTTCATGCAAGTCAAAATTAAACAATTCACTTAATGTTTTTGCTGTGAACTAAAGATATAAGCTAATTTAACCACAGAGCAGTTTATGAAGTGAGAACATCCTTTTCTTTTGCCAGGTATAACTCTATAATTAAGTGAAAAACTTCAAGCAAACATTTGTGGCTAACAATACTAGATATGAAGTAAGATTTTATCCACCATATATATGAACAACAGGTAAATGAAATGCATTGGTAATTATATAACTAATGCATAAGAGACAGATTTACAAATCTAAGAACAGCTACTCAGTGTATCATTGATCTGTATGAAGATGATAAAATAAAAGGTATTGGGCATATTTTCCCTGCAGTAAGTCCAGACCGCTGGCAAAGTACCTTTGACTTCAAGTGAGAGGAATGCTTATTACAGGACTTCAGGGTGAAACAAATTTCTTCTGACACACAGTCAGGGCGGGCTTATTACAGGACTTCAGGGTGAAACAAATTTCTTCTGACACACAGTCAGGGCGGGCTTATTACAGGACTTCAGGGTGAAACAAATTTCTTCTGACACACAGTCAGGGCGGGCTTATTACAGGACTTCAGGGTGAAACAAATTTCTTCTGACACACAGTCAGGGCGGGCTTATTACAGGACTTCAGGGTGAAACAAATTTCTTCTGACACACAGTCAGGGCGGGCTTATTACAGGACTTCAGGGTGAAACAAATTTCTTCTGATACACAGTCAGGGCGGGCTTATTACAGGACTTCAGGGTGAAACAAATTTCTTCTGACACACAGTCAGGGCGGGCTTATTACAGGACTTCAGGGTGAAACAAATTTCTTCTGACACACAGTCAGGGTGGGCTTATTACAGGACTTCAGGGGGAAACAAATTTCTTCTGACACACAGTCAGGGCGGGCTTATTACAGGACTTCAGGATGAAACATATCACCTCTGACTAAAAATCAGGGGTAAAGGCTTATTACAAGATAAGGATATAGCATTTGTTGTCTCCAGAACCAGGCATGTGTTCATTGCTGGATAAAAACCATAAAAGGACATGAAGTCCATCCCGAAAAATTTTCCTCATCACCATACTGATGATCTTACCTGAAGGGGTGGCAAACATAACAAGAAAATTATTCGGGCAGAGTGGTGGCACCATTTCCACAATGTCCTCAAACAAGGGGAATGGAGGTGTATGCTCATAATATTTCACCCCTTCTCGCTCAATCACTGGCGGCATGGCTCCTCTGGAATCTATTTGAGATTGTGACCCTTGGTGACTTTGAGGTTGTGACCCGTGGAGATCTTGGTTATCTAGAGTTGTCTTTGTTCCAGACATAAAATCTCTTGTGTTTGAAGGCAGAGAACGTAACATTGGACCCACAATGTCTACCTGTATCCCCTGATCCATTGACTCAATGAGTGATTTTCCTGTACGAGATCTGCAAGCCTTCACAAGGAAATAAACAATACTTTACAATCATTTCCACTCTTTATATTTACTTATTATAATAATGTCAAATTAATACAACAAAAAGTTAAGTGATGTACAGATTAAAGTTGGGCTTAACAAGAATTTTTTTCCCTTTTTCCGAAAGATTGTGTGTTAACACACCTTCGGTAGTCAATTCAAACTGTGACTAGACATTGTAAAACATATCTGTACCCCTTGTGGTCATCATTTTGATGAAATAACTGTGAAGTTCTACCAGGAAAATATAGTGAGGCGGAAAATCTAGGCCACTGTGATGTACATTTGATACAACAGTTTTACCGTATTTCTCCTCATAATGTACACAAAAATGTTTACAATTTAATATAAGAGCGATCATAATGGTCTTTGCCAAAAGCTTTAAACAATATGTTTGACAAACCAATACAGAGTACCTGTATGAAGACACGCCACTAATTATTACCTGTATAAAGACACCACTACTTAGAACCTGTATGAAGACACAAATACCGAGTACCTGTATGAAGACACATCACTACTTAGTACTAGTATGAGCCTTTTGTATGAAGACACACTACTACTTAGTACATGTATGAAGACACATCACTTCTTGGTATCTTAATGAACACACATCACTGTTTAGTACCTGTATGAAGAAGAGTCTTGGTTTTCCTCTTAAAGAACAACAATGCGAGTCATCAAAAATCGCCAGCAGATCCCTTGTTTTCATGACACCATTTTTCATGGATAAAAAATGTTCATATACTTTGATATTTGATGGCAGGTGTGGATTGCGGTCTCCCTTGGCCACTTCCTGTTCGCTACCATGGGTACTAACAACACACACAAAACAGTCGGCCTTCTTCAGTTTCTCTGACATCGCCACTGTAAATGTTACAAAGCTTTTGCTTGTCATTGGTCAGAAATTTAAGCAGATATTCTTATCTTTGAAACACTGGACAATTTTAACCTTTGGCCAATACAGGTGGCCAAACCTCCTCTATATATCCTTTATAGCAGTGACTTGTTATATTTTCATTACGATGAGGAAAACACAAATCAATAATCAATTAATTTCATATTTTGATCAGTGGGCACATGTACAATGTAGTGTTCATAAGATATGTCAAAATACCCTATCATGATGCAGGTACATCTTACAATAGCATTGGTTAATATAACCAAGTGGTATACTTAAAACATCATAAAAATTCATATTACAATGAAGGCAAGGTTCATCCTACAATCAAAGTTGCTCATCTCACAATAAAATATGTTCGTTTTGAAATGAAATGTGTTCACCTCCTTATGAAATACCTCTACAACCCAGAAATACTTACATTCTTTTAACTTATGCTGGAGTAATACGACCTCTTCATCCCAAAAGTACTCTATCTTGAAACCAAGTCTCTGAAAGATTTCGTAAGAATTTCTAAGATCAATAGAAGCACCTTTCCTCTCTTTTTCTCCTGTATCAAATACACTGTGGCCAATTAGAACAGCCACTCCAGGACAATCTTGATTGACTGGATATAAACAATCGTCATCATCTTCATCATCTTCCTCATTTACTTTGTGATCACCTCCCTGCTGATGGGCCAGCTGAGCTGTTACAGTAGCTTGGCTTCCTCCCTGGTGTTGTTTGCTACTCTCTACTGTTACATTAACTTGACTTCCTCCCTGGTGTTGTTTGCCAGTCTCCACTGGGTATTTATCACAAGACATTTGTCCTTTAGTTGTTTCGCTTTCAGTTTTTGCTTTTGAGTAAACTTCACCATCATCATCAACTGCTGATGAACACTTCTTCTGACCAAGAATTGCTGGAAAGCAGGAACTGAAAGGATACACATATTGATATGTTTATAATCGTAAGTGTCAAATTTCTCTATTTTAAGATGATGATTTCCTTATCCCAGTTACTATTTATAGAATCAACATGATTTTATGTCTTAGAGTGCCATAGTTACAAAAATCTTATTTCCTGACAGTTTGCACCTATTTATGATATGCACATTTTTAGCTGAGAAACTTAGGTTATTAGAGTCAGTGCCATATCTACCCAGCAGTAACCCATGCTTGGTAATAAGCCCATCCTTGTCTATATGTACATTTTTAGCTGAGAAACTTAGGTTATTAGAGTCAGTGCCATATCTACCCAGCAGTAACCCATGCATAGTAATAAGCCCACCCTTGTCTATTGTTGTGCCGTAAATATTTTCAACAAATACTAATTCATTGCTATATAATCAGCCCTAACCCTATTTTGCTATGGGCTTATTATGAAATATTTATATTATCATGATGTCATAATATCATAAACAAATCAAATAAGAAAGACATCGTTAATGGTTTTGTTTAGTTTTCTTTTGTTGTTTTTTCTGGAAGGGGGGCCAGGGTGGGGGGTATATATACAGTACATATTTATGAAGCCAACTTGACTGGTTGCTTGGTTAAAGATTTTCTGTCTCCTTGACCCTTCCTATCACTATGCACTATGAAGCTGACATTTCAAAAAGTCTATGCATAACCTACCTTATCAAACCATCTGTAGTGGAATGTGGTTGGTGAGACGCTGCAGCTCCTGGAGAAAAAAAAAATAATGAAATGAATTCACATATAATTTACTTTTATTTCTACAACAACCTTTTTGCCACAGACCAGAAACACAGAAAAGTGAGTAGAATTGACAGAATATTATATGGGTACATGGGTTAAAAGACCAGAAACATACTAGGAAAGTAAAACTCAAATACAATAACTGACAACAGGTTTTCTCTCCAAAACGTAACGATGTTTGTGTGTAATAGGATAAGGATATTGGATTAAACTGGAATTTCATCATAAGAAAGTTTGATTATAGTTAGGGGTCATTATCTATACCTTGCTTTTCCTCATCCTCCTCTTCTCTTGTAGCCATTTTGTTTTGTTCCCCAAAAGGTCGCTTTTTACCTACAAAATTAATGTTCTTATTTTAAAATAATGTATAAATTACTTTCACTTATGTTTCTTTCATACAATCTTCTAGATAGCAGGCGGTTGACACTGATGGTGGACTTTGAGTCCCTGAGGTTTTTCACATTTTAATTGACCTGAATATTGGCACAGTCAGAATACAGTATACACATGTACTTTACATTTTTTTGAAATTACCAGGTTTATGAAAATTATGAAATTTGTTGAACTTTGGGGTGAACAAATTTAGGCTCTTTGCATCATTGACTATTCCTAGATAAATGAAACAGCTGTATGGTGCTGTTTACTTCATTGTTTGGCTCTACTGTATCTCATTTTAAATTCAGGAACATAAAACATAGGTGGATAAAAAAATATATGCCCAGTGGAGACTTCTGTGTTTGTTCACTGAGCCATGAAGTCATCAAACCTCTTATCTAAACTCACCTGTACCCATAATGCACTAAATTTGAACTTTGCACTAATGCATCTGACCAGTGCCATTTTATCAGCTAGTGAGAAATAAATATCATTTCTTTAACAAAAATAATTGTGATGAATTGAAGTGGTATCACTATACCTACAGAAGTTTATCAGAAAATTACTTGGATTTTTTCATCATCTATGTAGATGTAATTTTCCTCATATTTCAGGCTGAAAGTGGTATACAAGATAAGGTTGTAGATAACTGGTTTATAAACACAGCAAGGCTAGTTAACTCAAATTTCTGGGTTATAGCATTACAAAGAGACATTAGCAGTCTCTTATTCCTCTGTATTATAAGTCCTTGTCATAATGCACTTAACACTATATAAACAAACACCAACTACCAAGAAGTATTTTCAATAAAAATGTATTTAATATATAGTTTGATAATGACATATAATGTGTTCAAACAATAATAAATTGTGTTGTCATATCATGGACTTCAAATATAAAATTCCCCTACCAACAAATATTGAATTCCATAAGCCAGCTGGTCTTCATATTTAAAAATAAAAAACTATTTTTGAACACTTACGTGTATAACAGTTGACGTGTTGGCATACTAAGTACTTAGTCTGCCAAAGCATGCCAATTATTTAAGTTTGCTGATGTCTTCAGACGGATATTTTCCAATCATCTCTACCTTCATACTACGTAGGTACATGTATAATGTAATTAAGTTGGTATTCTTGAGAGTTTCCTGATATTACTTAATTTACAATGTACATGTATACCACCGCTGATTTTGTGCAACTAATCACCATAAATCATTAACCTATGTGACCTTGTACCAGCACGATATTTGTTGCTGTAACACATAGTACTTGAAGAAAGAAGAAATACTGTGATCATTAATTTTTGCAGGATTTTTTCAGGTGAGTCCAGAACACATTTCCAAAATTTTGATGAATCCCATTACCAAGAGATATAGATATATCAAAATATGATGACTTCTAATGGCAAAAAAGGACATAGTCATCAAGATCCCCCGCCCATGTTCATTTGTAAAATATCTACATTTAAAGTAAGCCACATGGAAAACTGGAAAAGATTTCAGCCAATCAGGTCACAGCAGCCTCTCCAAATCCAAATATACACAGAATTTGCAAATAATCAAACTTGAACAAGGAATTAAGGTAATAAGTCTACCAAGCAATTCACATCCAAGAGCAATTAAAAAAATCAGCCAATTAGGTTGCAGCAGCCTCATTAAATATGTGTGGAATTTGCTGTTTATCAAACTTGGGCAATGGATTAAACAAGTGTACCAACCATGTTTCATCAGAATCCTATCAGTCCTTTAAAAGATATCATGCGGAAAGCAGCATACGGATGGAGGAAAAGACAGATGGAAAGATGGCAGGAAGGACGGATGGAACTCATTTAAATAATTAGTGCAGGACTCAAATATCTGATTTCCAAAAACTACTGTGTGGTTAAATTCACTCTTACAATTTTTTATTGACAATTTCTAAAATTTGTATACATGTTCTTATACAAGTCTCACAATCCAAATATTCTCCCAAAAATCCCACATTTGAGCTTGTTTACAACAATGACTTTTAAATATTGGAGTTTCATTTATTTTAAACTACTTTCTATATTGTTCTATTTCTAGTATCAATTGTTAGATCTATTTTTAGAATTCTTAACCGCCTGAACTGAACCTTTTATAATTAACTAACTACTTCAATGTAAATTACAGTTCTAATGAAGCATCGGTGAAACTGGTCAATTGTCAGTATGTAGCGAATAAATAAAAGAATTGGCTGTGGTGTATTGAGGTTGTATTTCATCATATCCTCCTAAATATGATCAAATTATACATCAATCCAAGCACAAAATCCTGTGATTTTTAGTCGTCTGTCCAGTAATGGATAATAAGTCAAATGCATGATTCCTTGAAATTTTGTTTTCTACTTAAGTTCAAACACGCAAATCTTTTATTGGAAAACATCAATTCTAAAAGTAACATTTTTGCGGCTCATTTTTGTTAACCGTGTTTTGGGTAAAGATAAAATAAGAACCCCATAGTCTGTTTTTGGAATTTGAGATATGAGAAAAAAATGTTTATTCAAAGATTTCCTATTTGGAAAAAAAAATAGACCAAACAATAAAACTTCACGCTAATTTTTTTTTTTCTAATGGGAAAAAGGGGAAGGGTACACACAGACACAAACAATAATTTGTTTGGTTCCAGTATTCTTCTATGTAGCATAGCTTAAATGTTAAAAGATAGATCTCACTGTCATGTACCCGTTTCAAATTGTTTGGTCAGGTATACCTAAACTGGAATACCTTGTTCAAATCAAAATATTGCCTGAACCAAATCATAACTGGAACATTTGTCAGTATTAGTTAAAACTTGGTTATCCCACAGTTAGATATTGGTTCAGATAGTACACTTGAAAGATAACAACACATGACATGTGAATTAATTGCATAATTAGTACTACCTTTCAATGATATTGACAAATGTCTGTAATTGAAAGTATTTTCTGTTAACTAAAATTAAACATATTACAAACTTTCTATGCAAATCTTGTAACTGGTTGTCTTAGGACATAGATTCTTCCAATTCTTTCACTGACAGCAATGTGTCTTTATTATAATGTCCATCGTTATGTGTATTGCTTGACAGTGGATGTCATCAAAGTATTTTCCTGACAAGCAAAATAAACATCAGACTGATTAAATATTTTGACATGAGCAAACATTTACAAGGAAATCCGCCTCGAAGCCAAACTCGGCAATTTGCACATCTTTTCAGAGGGCTAAGGATTATTCATGAACTTAACAGCAGCAAACATATGCTGAATATAAAATTCGAGTATTTCTGACTTTGGTGTGGTTCTTGTCCATGCCAGATTCACAGGTTTTTATGGACCCCAATTTAGGCCATTGTTTGGTTTGTTATTTTAAATGCTATTGAAATCGAGTCCACAAGTACCTTTCGTGTCACTGATTCCTCTACCATCCTGAAAACACCACACTAAACGGGTACACGATAGTGGATCTACTGTTTACTATGAAGTAAAGCTTGTTATCAAAATGTGCTAGCTCTCTTAGTTGATGATTTATCGACAGTCCGGTGGATTTAATTCATTACCGTTAATGTCGTTTTCTTAGTGTTAAACAAATAAATATATCACATTAAAACACTACTGATACAAAACATTACCTTCCTGTCAACAGCCTCTCTGCTTACTTGTTTCTTCACTTTCGGTTTCGGAACCAGGAAGCCAGGGATTATACTTACCGGAAATACATCGAAAATTGTAAAGTAAAATAGGATCTGGTCCATACAGCAGGATGAACAAACCAAACAAACAAACAAACACCATCATTATCTTATTTGTAAAGGCGCACGTCGGAAAGAAAACAAACATAAAAATATATGTTTTTTTTTTATATTTCTGTCTTTTTGTAAGTTTTTATAACAAAAACTAGATAAATGTTAGCACGTGCATTATAATACATTTATTGATACCACGATAACTATTATATGCAGGATAATTGACTATTTAATTTGATTCAGTTGTAAAAAATGTCAAATCCATTTTGTCATTTAAAAAATGAAACTGTTTAAAATCCAAAATGACAAATATATCTGACAACAAAACAACCTTGCTTATATATAATGTGGTTATTCGCAGTGCAAATAAGCTATAGGTGTTGATATCCCCCGCCGAAGTGAAGAAGCTCCAACCATGCATTGGATATAGGAAGTAGCGTCATGTATCCATACGTGCTTCTTTTACTGTTATACTTAAATTATGGAAATATTTACCAAAACTTCCGTACACACATTGTCAGTACCATTACTGTCATAGTTACTATCCTTCACTTTGCGTGAAACCATGCGTCATATGAAACGGAATGAAATCTATAGGAGCAGTGACGTATATAACACATTATACGTCTCTGATAGGAGTCAATGAAATTTTATATAAATAGTGATACGGCGTAGCGGTGCACCAATACATGTCAAAAATAAAAAGTTTGATCTCCAACAACTACACTGTATCCCACCAAGGGTTTAGATCCACATAGGATGGGAAATAATAGTTTACGTCCTGGGGACAGGGACAGAGATATAAGATGAACTGGTACATGTTAACTGGAACATGTTCTGTTCATTTCAAAACAATTATAAAAGGCTTCGACTTGAATGTAGCTCTTTGAACCGTCATTTATATAATTATTATATTTCAGAAACCAGGCAGTATTCTTGTGGTTGTAGCGAAACCATTTTTCTTTTTTTAATTGAATGTTGGACCTTCGTTACAATTTGAACTGAAAGGAAAGTTAGAGGTAAACGTGGACAACAGGAAATTGTTTGGTGGTGGGCCAAACATTGGAACATGTATACATGTAGATTCTAGTCGACTGCATGGGTCTACAATACTTAAAACTCTTTGATTATCAACCCCATCCCCCTCTCTCCCTTCTCAGTACATCTCTAGTCTCTTTACTCAGTTTATAAGTATTTCTAATGGTCGTTTTATCTATGTAATTATCTATCTTACTTAACCTGTTTTTATCATACTGTAAACTATACGTTATTGGGAGATGGCTTAGTCAAAAAGATCGCCCTTGTCGCCGGATCCCTAAAATCATAATCGTGAAAAATATTAAATCATATCATGTATGTTTAAAAAGGAGATATTGGTAAAAACAACCAATTCAGTTGCATCACTTCAAGGTCAATGTCGTTATCATTATAAGTCCTAGGTAATTCAATATTTCTCGTGGAAGTTATTTTTTTAACTTTCATATTGCATTATAAGGATACCCCAAATCGTGAAAAATATTAAATCATATCCTGTATGTTTAAAAAGGAGATATTGGTAAAAACAACCAATTCAGTTGAATCACTTCAAGGTCAAGGCCGCTATTATTATAAGTCATAGGTAATTCAATATTTCTCGTGGAAGTTATTTTATTAACTTTCATATTGCATTATAAGGATACCCCAAATCGGTTTGTTTCAATGTTATTGTTTATGTTTATGAAAATGTGTAACACAAACGTGAATAGGATCCGGACATTCTTAGTGAAGGTTTCAGTGGAAATATTCGCAGCCTTACGCAAGTCCGAAAATACTTAAAACGTTTTATTCCGGGTACGGTGTTTAACAGGTTTATTGACTTCTTCAAGTCATCCTATATGGTTTGGTTTTAGTTGGCGGTTTAACGTCTTGCCAACGGTCAATGTCAGACGTCTATCGTGCATATGGGTGCCTGTTGAGAGCAAGTCACAGGACAAGTGTTATGTTGGGGGATCTCTTTCAAGAAAATGGTGCAAGGTGTGTTAGAGAGTTTTGATTTTTTTAGTCGACTTTGCCATGTTATACAACCAAAACATGTACTTCCAGGAACGAAGGACGTTATGGACTTTTTTTTCTGTCTATTGAAAAAAACACTTTTTGACATTTATGTCATAGTTACTAGATGTAAAAGTGTATATGAATGCAAATGTTATTTCATCTGTATTTGTAAATATTATCGATTTTAATGCGACTTTCACCAGGCCTGGTTTTGAGTACTCTTAGTTCTTTGGTTAAAAATGTCTTGTGAACATGGATATATGGTAAAACTCTGTTGTAGATAGTACTTTCGTAGTCCCTTCACTTTTAAATGATACAACTAAAATGATTATGATACAAATAAACTGTTATATTGCTTCATTTTGAACAACGTTCTGATCTGAGTTAATTCCCTTCGTTTCAATCTATCAGATCGCATAGTGGTATTATTTCAAGATAATCATGTTTAAATTAGGTTTACAGATGGTCACCAGCATCTCCAGCAGAACAAAATCCGTACCTAATGGCGGGAAGTAATTTCAACCAATCAGACACCAGATTAGCATTCTGCGGCGCACATGCGGAAAATGGCCGACCACAACAAGTCGGGTGCCTGGAGTCCAACGTCGCCGGGAGGAACGACGGATGATAGCACAACAATGGAGATTGGAGATGAAGATGACCCCCTCTCTGAAACGCAAGAATGTGTGGAGGAAACGGTGGTCATTCCGTTGACCGCACCGCCCGAAAACCAGTAGGTCATCCGCCATGAACCGTTGAAGAAACTTCGCTAACTTGCAGCACAACTTCGTTTACTTATTTGCGAATGTAGTGGAGATACATTTTTCAATTATGCTGAAGGTTTGAGGGTTAGACAGACTTCTCGTTCTTAATTTTAGAAAGTCTTGATGCGAACTGAAGGACTTTTTGATATGATATTAATATGTCAATGTGAGTATGTAAACAATGCAATCTTTCCATATTTGGGATTGGTTGTAAAGTTGAACAAGTACATTTATGAAGCACATTAATATGTAGAAACATCTGCGATATTTAAGATCGTAGTTAATCTGTATGTTAATCGTTATTTTCATCACTTATGGTTTGTTAGTGTGACATTCTGTAATGCATACATCTATGTCAAGTACGTTTATTTCGGATTTAATTTAATAAGATAAGATATCTAGTTGGAAAAAGTAAGGTCTAATATATCAAGAATAAGATGATATGATATATGAATACACACGCACACAAATGTTAATACAACAGGTATATTGTTTGAATTTAAGAGTACTAGTCAAACAGCTATCTATAGATGTGATATGGTGTTGTCAAAGGGAGATAACAAATGACCACCTTCTATAAGGAAGAAGTAAAATTTTGTGTAGGAGTAAGAAACTTATGTGTGTGACAGTATTCATAATGAGTAGGCATGTGAGTCACAGATATTGATATTATAATTTTAGGCCAAGACAAAATAGCATGTGCATGATGTAAGGAAACTCTAAAAATACTCTCCTCTTTTTTTTATTAATAATTACTTCCAACACAAATTGAATTTATAAGATGCAGATGTATCTTCATAAATAGAATATGTTTTCACACATTGAAGTTGATAACATTCAATAATTAAACATTTTTTATTGGTATACAATGCAAGTATCACATTTTAACGACACTATTGAAAAAATAGGGAAACTTTAATTTATAACACTGATTTAATTAAAATTGTGGGGTAGATCTGAAAGAGCTTCTATCAGTATATATAAGAGGTTGTTATGATGTTGAGTCTGTTTCACCACTAAGCCTTCACTTCCTGGAATTTGAAAGTGAATTTACAGTATATATCTTCCATATATGAGTTGTAATAACATGAATCAGATATTGCCAAGCTAGCCTATAACATCAGAGTAATGAATGAAAAACAAAATTATATGTAATGAAGTTGTGTTTTAAAATGATAAGACATTTTTATCATAAGTTTGTGCTATTTTCAATTAATCAAATTTCCCCCAAAAATTTGTTTACTATCTATAGGTGGTATCATGGAAGACTAGGACGCCAGACAGCAGAGGAACGTCTACGGTCAGCAGGCGAGATTGGTAGCTACCTTGTTAGGGAGAGCGAGAGTAAATCAGGTTCCTATGTTCTGTCTTACCTAGGGAAGAATGGACTCACCCACTTCAGGTTTGTAGAGTAATTTAGCTTGAACTTTGAAAAATTAATCACCAGTCACAATTCACGATATGCTGATCAGAGAAAATGGTCTAGAAGATTTTGCCATGAGCATACCCATCTGGTTACTGACATATTTCTACATGTGAGACAGCAAATATCCTTGGGTCCAACTTTTAAAGAAATTTTAAAAAGGGATTGCGATTGAACATGATATTGATGAATTTAAGCTTCAGCGATATTTTTCAAACTTTCATGTAGCCTTCTTTCATTTGTGTGAATTTCAGGGTAAATTTCTATCTTTTCTCTTGGAGAAGAATAATATGACTTACAAAAAAAGTTTATGGGTCCAGAGAACCTCAACACAGAAAGATATATCCTTGATATTTAGTATCAAACCATGCCCAACTAACAAACTGAACTGGAACAAGGACCTGTACCTCCATTGACTTATATTCTCCCAATATATATAAGCATTTAATGAATCTAAAGACAAAATGAAGAAGCACATATAAACATATCAATGTCTGTATATAAACATATCAGTGTCTGTATATTAACTGGATATTGTTTGTATATAAACCTATCAATGTCTGTATATTAACTGGATATTGTTTGTATATAAACATATCAAAGTCTGTATATTAACTGGATATTGTTTGTATATAAACATATCAAAGTCTGTATATTAACTGGATATTGTTTATATATTAACTGGATATTGTTGGTATACAAACTGGATATTGTTTGTATATAAACATATCAATGTCTGTATATTAATTTAAGAATTGTAAACCTGATGGACCCGGCAGAGATGGCTGTTCTGTGTCCATAAGTACTGGTGGCCTGTTGTCCGAGGCTTGGTTGGTCGAGCCGACATCTTGTGCCGAATGTTTGTCGGCAGTACCCTAGGAAGAAGGCTTCCCGCCAGTGTTATGTGTAACATTGGATTTTTTGCCTTTGTCGCCTTTTTTGTTGGGTTTTTCCGTATAACGGGGCTCCATATTGTTGAGAATGTCCCCAACAAAATCAAATTCACTCACGATTTTACATTTTTCCAAGATGGCGGCCATAAAGCGCGCCAGAGAGGGAGCCCCTCCTCACAAGAAAACGTGAAAATATGCCGAGACGGGAGTGTTTAGAAATGTAAAAAGTATTTACACGAACAGTGAAAACCAACAAGTAAACCTTAGAGAGCCTCTGGGGTTGTGAAACAAATAATGAAAGTATAAAAGGCGATATAAAGTCAGAGGAACGCAGTTGCCTCTGTACTATTTGCTAACAAAACACGCTATGACTGCTAACGATGCGCACGCATCTCATGGGATCCCGGATGTACCATCCAGGAGTGAATGACAGAATTGGATATTGTTTGTATATAAACATATCAAAGTCTGTTTATTAACTGGATATTGTTTGTATATAAACATATCAAAGTCTGTTTATTAAGTGGATATTGTTTATATATTAACTGGATATTGTTGGTATATAAACTGGATATTGTTTGTATATAAACATATCAATGTCTGTATATTAATTGGATATTGTTTGTATATAAACATATCAAAGTCTGTTTATTAAGTGGATATTGTTTATATATTAACTGGATATTGTTGGTATATAAACTGGATATTGTTTGTATATAAACATATCAATGTCTGTATATTAATTGGATATTGTTTGTATATAAACATATCAATGTCTGTATATTAACTGGATATTGGTTGTATATAAACATATCAAAGTCTGGATATTAACTGGATATTGTTTGTATATAAACATATCAATGTCTGTATATTAACTGGATATCGTTTGTATATAAACGGGATATTGTTTGTATATAAACATATCAATGTCTGTATATTAACTGGATATTGTTTGTATATAAACATATCAATGTCTGTATATTAACTGGATATTGTTTGTATATAAACATATTAATGTCTGTATATTAACTGGATGTTGTTTGTATATTAACATATCAATGTCTGTATATTAACTGGATGTTGTTTGTATATAAACTGGATATTGTTTGTATATGATTATATCAATGTCTGTATATTAACTGGATGTTGTTTGTATATAAACTGGATGTTTTTGTATATTAACATATCAGTGTCTGTATATTAACTGGATGTTGTTTGTATATTAACATATCAATGTCTGTATATTAACTGGATATTGTTTATATATTAACTGGATATTGTTTGTATATAAACATATCAAAGTCTGTTTATTAATTGGATATTGTTTATATATTAACTGGATATTGTTTGTATATAAACTGGATATTGTTTGTATATAAACATATCAATGTCTGTATATTAATTGGATATTGTTTGTATATAAACATATCAAAGTCTGTTTATTAAGTGGATATTGTTTATATATTAACTGGATATTGTTGGTATATAAACTGGATATTGTTTGTATATAAACATATCAATGTCTGTATATTAATTGGATATTGTTTGTATATAAACATATCAATGTCTGTAGATTAACTGGATATTGTTTGTATATAAACATATCAAAGTCTGTATATTAACTGGATATTGTTTGTATATAAACATATCAATGTCTGTATATTAACTGGATATCGTTTGTATATAAACGGGATATTGTTTGTATATAAACATATCAATGTCTGTATATTAACTGGATATTGTTTGTATATAAACATATCAATGTCTGTATATTAACTGGATATTGTTTGTATATAAACATATTAATGTCTGTATATTAACTGGATGTTGTTTGTATATTAACATATCAATGTCTGTATATTAACTGGATGTTGTTTGTATATAAACTGGATATTGTTTGTATATGATTATATCAATGTCTGTATATTAACTGGATGTTGTTTGTATATAAACTGGATGTTTTTGTATATTAACATATCAGTGTCTGTATATTAACTGGATGTTGTTTGTATATTAACATATCAATGTCTGTATATTAACTGGATATTGTTTATATATTAACTGGATATTGTTTGTATATAAACTGGATATTGTTTGTATATTAACTGGATATTGTTTGTATATAAACTGGATATTGTTTGTATATTAACTGGATGTTGTTTGTATATAAACTGGATATTGTTTGTATATTAACTGGATATTGATTGTATATTGACAGGATATCTGCAATCTGTGGTGATTACTACATTGGAGGTCGGAGATTTGAGACATTGTGCCTCTTAGTTGGGTACTACACCTCAGAATCCTATCTCCTAAAGGAAGAACAATTAAAACTGCCTGTCCCTCCCCCAGAGGTAAGGTTTTATAGATATAGGATATATTACTTAGTGTCTCACAAGGACAATAGTTTTGCTGTTTTACCTGCCATATTTAACTAAGGATATCCAGATTAAGAGTTGAAAATCCTTCACCACTATCGACTTATCAAAAAATTTCAACAAACTAGATGTTCAAATAACGGTAATATGTTTACGATGTAAACAATGAAGTACTCTTGAAATGTAAAAATATTGATATAATGTTGTGTTTCTAAAAGCAGATTCTCAGTTTGCTGAAGCAAGAAGGGCGATGGGTTTTTGAAGAAATCTAGATATGATGACTTCAGTAATTATTAGCTAATGATTCCTAGTTATAACCAGACATATATAAATGCTGGATTTATAATTCTGTTACCATGTGTTTTCATGAATAAAATACAGAATGTCACAGATGTATTTTTCATCAGGATGGCTAATGTACTGTCTTGTAAGGATATGAAATATTTGCTATATAGCTGGTAATTTCCATGGGTCAAAATTTTTGGATTTTCTGCTATACAAGCTGATTTTCTTCTATAACGATTGAATTATAGTTCAACAAAATTGAAATTTTGCAATCTGGATGTAAAAGGACGTCTTTTACGTTTGTGTTTCGTTATTTCACGGGCTGAATTTTCACGATAATTTTAATGTATTGCGAATAGCAAAATAATTATCCCCGTGAAAATAATCGGCTATATGGTATATGTATATAGTTATTCAGTCAAAGTCATTGTTTTTAGCCAGTAGATGATCGCAGGCGTGTGATAGCACATCTTCCTTTCTCTAAAATGCCAGAAACAGATGAGCTAAGGTAAGTATACATGAAAGTTCGAATAATTAACATACCTTTTTATGTGTATTGCACATACGACATTTATCTGCTTTAAGCCCATAGTCCAACTCCTAATCTTTGAGGAATCAATATGGGTTGATTCCAGGGAAACCATACTAAATTGTTTGCTATTTCTTAAAGTGGATGTGGGTGGGCTTATTGGCCGATAAGGGATTATTGTCTGATAAAGGCTTATTGTCAGAGAAATATGATAAATATCTATGGTATCTTTTTGGTTCAATGGTATAAGAGAAAACAGCATTATGTGATGAAATTCATCTCGTATGTGTTGATTTCTTTGATATTACAAATTTCCTAATTTGGATCTATTATAACGTTCTTCCAAATGATTCATAAATGATAAGTCATGTGTTTCTCTTGGAATTGTATTAAGTGTTGCATTCTGTTGCCTGATTTCAGCTTTGAGAAAGGAGATGTGTTCGTTGTGCTGAATGAGATGGGAGATGGTTGGCTGTGGGTGATAGCTCAGAGGACCAATAAGGAAGGACAAATACATGAGGCGCTAGTGGAGGACTTGGTAAGGCTAACAAGTCTAATTAGTATTGATCTGTTTCTCTCTCCAGATTTTATGTCTGTGCAAAAAGTGCAGGCCTACCATGCAGTCTCTACCATCTCTGATGGTCTGCTTGTTTAAATGACAAATTGTTAGACTTTGAATTTAGATCCACATAAATTATATATCAAAGTAGGGTCAGAACCAAGGTCATGTTTTTGAAGCTCTGATTTTTTAATGTAATCATCAGTAGCAAAAAAAAAGAATTAAATGGAGTTCATTTTCTATATTTCCTAATTACATATAAACCTGTTTTCCCTGCAGAATGGGACTATAGATCCTGATGAAACATTGCCATATTTTTATCCTGGAATAACAAAGGAAGATGCAGTGGAGAAACTCCGTGAAGGTTAGTATGTAGAGATAATGTGTTTGAGTTAGTTTTTGTATAGAGAGAAAACATTGGTAATACTTGAGGAAATGGGACAAGAAATAGATGGAATTTTGAAAGAACAGTACTTATGAAGAGAACAATTTGAGATGGTCGTGATTGGAAGATAAAAGGAGACTTACAAATAAATATTGTTTTGGTATGTAATAAGCTGAAGATAATATTGAAAAAACCTATTAAATGGTCATGTAAATTTGGAGAAGATATATTTTTTCCTATGAAATTTTAACTTATATATACATACTGTTGGAACTACATGACAAAATGGGTTTAGACGAAAAGATCAGTTAGCATTGTTGCTTGAACACTCTAGCTGGCCAAGGAAGCTTCCTGGTGCGTCCAAGTGAAAATTCTCCTGGAAACTATTCCTTGTTTGTCCTTTGTGACAAGACTGTTCAGAGATTCCGCATTGAGAAGGAAGGAAGACAACTGTTTATGGGAGGACGCTACTTTGATGGGTATGATCACTGAAAATTTCACATCTGTTATAAAGCAAAGGAGGAAGGTATAAGCAATTCAAAGAAATTCACTTCACCTCTTATGAAAAGCATAGCAATTTACAAGCTTTATCTCAAGACAATTTTCTATTTTATTGCAGAAAGGTAAAAATTGAACCAGATAGTATAAATCTGATGGAAGTGAACATATTTTTGTTGCAGAGAATATTTACTTAGCTCTGACTAGTTGGTTTTATCGGGAAATGACTAAAGAAAGATTTCTGTTGGCAGGCTGGAAGCAATCATTGACAGATACAAGAAGGAAGAGATTGTAGAGAGCTTCACCTTGGTGACGCCCGTCTGTAAGGTAAGGATGGGTTGTCGTGTGTAAGGTAAAGGTGGGTTATTACCTGTGAGGTAAGGGTGGATTGATTTATGTAAGGTTAAAATAGGTTATTTTGTATATGATAAGAGTGGATTGTTGTGTAGAAAGTAAGGAGGGGGTTTATGTGTGTAGAGTAAAGGTGGTTACTGTGAGTAACATCATTGTGAAACATCAATTGGGATTGAGATCATTCCTTAAATTCTGAAATTGATTCAGCCCCTAGGGACCTTGGGATGGGGCTCCAAAGGGGTAGTTGGACAATACTTCGTTTTAAAACACTACTCTTCCTTAATGCTTGAAAAGATTTCATTCAGATTTTGTTTGTAACATCAGAAGGGGTTGGCAAATAATTTTTTTTTATTCAGAAAGTTGATTCGGCCCCTAGGAACTTGGGGGTGGGGCCCCAAAAGGGGAAATTTGACAATATTTTGCTTCAAAACACAACCCCTTCTTAATACATGGGTAGATATCTACCAAATTTGGTGTGAAATGTGATTGCAGATGGGTTATGATTTCTTATTAAATTCAGAAATTTGAATTGACCCCAAGGGACTTGGGGCAAGGCCCTTAAAGGGGAAGTTAGAAAAAAATTTGCTTCATGATGCTACTCTTCCTTAAGGCTGTAATGGATTTAAACCAGATGTGGTGCAAAACATCATTGTGGGTGGAGAATCATTTCTTGAATTCAGAAAGTTGATTCAGCCCCTTGGGACATTGGGGGGGGGGGGGTCTAAAAGGTGAAGTTTGACAATATTTTCCTTCAAAACCCTTCTCCTTCTTAATGCCTTGGTAGATTTCAACCAAATTCGTCCTGAAATATGATAAGGGAATGGCAATGATGTCATATATGAATGAAGTGATCCTGAGATTGTCCTGACCAAATCTTATTTTTATGCTTTGGTCCAAAATCCAACATAGAACAAAGTGTGAACTTCTTCTCATGTTTCAATCATACCAATGAGAAAAATATTTGGAATTTGATTTTTTTTTCTTTTTTAAAGAAAAGAAACCGATGATTTGTTGTTACTGTTCAATCTGATCAAAACTTCAACATGGTTATCACAGTAGTTACTTTGTAACATGATGGTGCAACTGTGTTTCATGAACAGAACCTACCATTTGTGAGTTTCTGATTCTTTCAAGTAATGTTCAAAATTTGAATTGATCAGATTTGTCAGACCACCATCAGCGACTGTTAGTGGCCATGGTCCTCTTGTGTGAATTCATGTCTGGTATATGCAAGCTATATTGTCATTTTTTGACTATTGAATTATACTGAATGTTACATACACAATCTGCTGTCATTACAGGGGTCGACTGAACACTTATACGATTCTATCAGACAAAGCTCACGTGGACCTATCACTGGACGGGGACAGAAATTGGACATGCAGGGCTACCTCTTCATAAAAAAGAGTAGGTATTTCTGGGCTAGGTAGTTATCATAGTCCCATAGATTATGTAATACACATGGTAAAATAAGTCTTTATTAATACTTCTCTCATATCTGCTTATATCACTACTTTGTCATTTGGCATAGTATTTTTCACATTTTCTACAAAATATCAGCATCAGTCCTTAGGTGACGAAATTTGAACTTTTTTGAATAAGTATGAAACATCCGGATATAACTGTCATGTGGAGCTTGGTAATCCTCTACAAAGTTTTTGAATTTAAGATAATATTTGGTTCAGAGAATACATTAGATACATTTTCTCTGTCTGTTTTTATCAGGTCAAAAAGTGAAGAAGTGGAAAAGCATGTTCTTTGTTTTACTTGGTCATGATCGGCAGCTCTGCTTCATGGAAAATGAAAAGGTAAATAATAATGGGAATGAAATGTCATTGATCATTTTTATGTCTGTTCCCTTGATTTACTACTAGATGAGATAATGAAATGAGTTCAGATATAAAGCTTTGGTAACAGAAAGTATGTTTTGAATATGAAAAAAAAGTTTGTTAATTTTAGTAATAGCAACCAGGTAAATGGGAGGAATCATTGAAAGGATGAATATGGTATTGGTCAACCAGTCAAGTAAGCAATCTTCTTACAGGTTTTTTAACACAATTTTCTTCTTTCCTAGAGATGAGTTGAGTGCAGGTGTACTAATTAGGTTGAAAACAATATTTTTGATTTGAAGAGAGTCCTAAGTAATGTTTAAACTATCTGGAAGATATTGAATGGTATTGTGTTTGTATAATTAGTGTATGTGTTAAAACAAATGTTCGATTGTTCATGAATGAATACTTACTTCCCAAACATTTGAATATTAAAATGGTATTAAAATATTCAGTATAATTTACCTCCTATTATCGCAAACATGGAAAACCGTTCAAGCTAGGTATGGGAACATTTCCAATTAATCAGAATGTAGGTGAATGTTATAGCATCAATATGTAAATATATGGCGCAGATTTCAAATCCGATTCATTGTGCATCAAAACAAGATTATTTCACGGATTTTACAAACCAGTGTTCTTTACTCCTTGATAATGTTACAAAGACTGTAAGGTAGTCTGTCAGGTAGTCTGTCAGGTAGACCTGTCAGGTAGGCTGTCAGGTAGACCTGTCAGGTAGACTATCAGGTAGTCTGTCAGGTAGACTGTCAGGTAGTCTGTCAGGTAGGCTGTCAGGTAGACCTGTCAGGTAGACTATCAGGTAGTCTGTCAGGTAGACTGTCAGGTAGGCTGTCAGGTAGTCTGTCAGGTAGACTGTCAGGTAGTCTGTCAGGTAGTCTGTCAGGTAGTCTGTCAGTCTGTCGGGTAGACTGTCAGTCTGTCAGGTAGACTGTCAGTGAGACTGTCAGGTAGACCTGTCAGGTAGACCTGTCAGGTAGACTGTCAGGTAGTCTGTCAGGTAGACTGTCAGGTAGACTGTCAGGTAGTCTGTCAGGTAGTCTGTCAGGTAGACTGTCAGGTAGTCTGTCAGGTAGTCTGTCAGGTAGTCTGTCAGGTAGTCAGGTAGACTGTCAGGTAGTCTGTCAGGTAGACCTGTTGGGTAGTCTGTCAGGGAGACTGTCAGGTAGTCTGTCAGGTAGACTGTCAGGTAGTCTGTCAGTGAGACTGTCAGATAGTCTGTCGGTCTGTCAGGTAAACTGTCAGGTAGTCTGTCAGGTAGTCTGTCAGGTACACTGTCAGGTAGACTGTCAGGTAGTCTGTCAGGTAGTCTGTCAGTCTGTCAGGTAGACTGTCAGGTAGTCTGTCAGGTAGTCTGTCAGGTAGACTGGCAGGTAGTCTGTCAGTGAGACTGTCAGGTAGACTGTCAGGTAGGCTGTCAGGAAGTCTGTCAGGTAGTCTGTCAGGTAGACTGTCAGGTAGGCTGTCAGGAAGTCTGTCAGGTAGTCTGTCAGGTAGGCTGTCAGGTAGGCTGGCAGGTAGTATGTCAGGTAGACTGTCAGGTAGGCTGTCAGGAAGTCTGTCAGGTAGTCTGTCAGGTAGACTGTCAGGTAGTCTGTCAGGTAGTCTGTCAGGTAGACTGTCAGGTAGACTGGCAGGTAGTCTGTCAGTGAGACTGTCAGGTAGACTGTCAGGTAGGCTGTAAGGTAGGCTGTCAGGAAGTCTGTCAGGTAGGCTGTCAGGAAGTCTGTCAGGTAGACTGTCAGGTAGGCTGTCAAGAAGTCTGTCAGGTAGTCTGTCAGGTAGACTGTCAGGTAGACTGTCAGGCAGACTGTCAGGTAGTCTGTCAGGTAGACTGTCAGGTAGACTGTCAGGTAGTCTGTCAGGTAGTCTGTCAGGTAGACTGTCAGTGAGACTGTCAGGTAGACCTGTCAGGTAGACCTGTCAGGTAGACTGTCAGGTAGTCTGTCAGGTAGACTGTCAGGTAGTCTGTCAGGTAGACTGTCAGGTAGACTGGCAGGTAGTCTGTCAGTGAGACTGTCAGGTAGACTGTCAGGTAGGCTGTCAGGTAGGCTGTCAGGAAGTCTGTCAGGTAGGCTGTCAGGAAGTCTGTCAGGTAGACTGTCAGGTAGGCTGTCAAGAAGTCTGTCAGGTAGTCTGTCAGGTAGACTGTCAGGTAGACTGTCAGGCAGACTGTCAGGTAGTCTGTCAGGTAGACTGTCAGGTAGACTGTCAGGTAGTCTGTCAGTTAGTCTGTCAGGTAGACTGTCAGGTAGACTGTCAGGTAGTCTGTCAGGTAGACTGTCAGGTAGTCTGTCAGGTAGTCTGTCAGGTAGTCTGTCAGTCTGTCGGGTAGACTGTCAGTTAGTCTGTCAGTCTGTCAGGTAGACTGTCAGTGAGACTGTCAGGTAGACCTGTCAGGTAGACCTGTCAGGTAGACTGTCAGGTAGTCTGTCAGGTAGACTGTCAGGTAGACTGTCAGGTAGTCTGTCAGGTAGTCTGTCAGGTAGACTGTCAGGTAGACTGTCAGGTAGTCTGTCAGGTAGTCTGTCAGGTAGACTGTCAGGTAGTCTGTCAGGTAGACTGTCAGGTAGTCTGTCAGGTAGACCTGTCGGGTAGTCTGTCAGGGAGACTGTCAGGTAGTCTGTCAGGTAGACTGTCAGGTAGTCTGTCAGTGAGACTGTCAGATAGTCTGTCGGTCTGTCAGGTAAACTGTCAGGTAGTCTGTCAGGTAGTCTGTCAGGTACACTGTCAGGTAGACTGTCAGGTAGTCTGTCAGGTAGTCTGTCAGTCTGTCAGGTAGACTGTCAGGTAGTCTGTCAGGTAGTCTGTCAGGTAGACTGGCAGGTAGTCTGTCAGTGAGACTGTCAGGTAGACTGTCAGGTAGGCTGTCAGGTAGTCTGTCAGGTAGTCTGTCAGGTAGTCTGTCAGGTAGACTGTAATGTAGACTTCCTCTATACAATCCACCTTGGGTTTGGTTTAACTGCTTGTTCTTCAGAGGTCATATGTTTCTTACTGAAGGTATGCTTTCTTGAAATTAAATGTAAAACTTTTTCCCCATTCATAAGTTAAATAAAGCAATATTAAGAACTCAGAAAAAAAAACGGTGTCTAGCTCAATATATGTATGTGTACATAATTTTTGACATTACCACCAGAATATTCCAGTATCATTTGAGAACATTAAAGGAATATATGTTCGTTTCATTCCTTGTATATGTAATATGTATCTGTTTGAAAGCAATAGAAAAAAATAGGAAGTAAAATTTAGTAAGAATGGGTGTCTGATAACGTTGAAGTGATGTTATGTGATTTTGTTATTTTAACAGAGATCCAAGCCAAAGGGACTTATAGACCTGACATACAGTTCATTCTACCCGGTCCATGACAGCTTTTTTGGGAGGTATGTATTAGCATTGCCATCGTCACCCGTTGGTTTGAAGCATTTCATACTAACCTGTACTTGATGTGCAATGACCTGAGGATGTTAGCTAACAAATTCTTGCTCAAAGTCAGGGCTTATGGGACAATGAAGTAATTGAGGTACATAAATCTACTGACCCCTAATAGGTATGGGTGGGTTTGGTACCAGGCATGAGTTTAATGGCAGATAAATACAATGTATAGTCAGAATGAGAGAACATTCCAAAGTTGTCGTCTATTGCATGTCGACCTCAGAAGCAGTTAAAAAAATGACATGTCTTGAAATGTAGGTTTTAACTTTTTGTTGAAATGTGTGATTCGCAAAATAAAAAAAATGGCTTTGGAAGTGAGAAAATTGGGGAAAAGTAAACAGGTCTAGGTTCTTTTTGATGGGACTTGACAACACACAGGACATTGAGTTAACTCTTTACATTTGTCATTTTCAGGAGTCAAATAAAAATCAAAAGAGTTAAAACATCTGTGAAACAAACTCAAAACTCAGTTTGGGAGTCAAAAACATACTGGATGCTCAAAATAATTGACTCTATGCCATGTCAGGTTTTCAGGGTTTTAATTGGCATTTTAGAAAAATAGTACAACTATTTTCAAGTTTAAAAAACTCTTTGCTTTCTTTGTCTTTTAGTTTTGAACATGAATGAACACAAATGAATTTAGTACAACACAAATGTATGGTAGAGGAGGAGGTCACAGATCTCTACAGATTGCTAGGACTGTTTTGTGAAATTTGTTAAAACAAATTCTTCAATGTTTTTTTGTAACTTTTTTCATTGCTTTTGTTTATCACGTAGGCCAAACTGTTTCCAACTCATTACTATAGCCAGTGCAACTAATCACTACCAGATATATTACCTGTGTGCGGAGAACAGCGACTTTGCACAGGTGAGATATAACATGTTTTGTTGTTCATTATGGAACTTTATCATGTTTGAGTCTATAGACTGTGACAAACTTTCAATTAACTAGATTTTTAAATGAGCAAGTGAAAGCAATCTAATGTTGGAGTAGAAATTTACTTTAAGATAAAAGATTAGAGCAGGTTAAGCATTTTGACTTCATACCTGTGCATTACTTCAGCGTCAAGTTCATAATCATAAACATTGTTTTATCCAAGGACTACATCTTCTTCTCATGATCATGAAATTAGGTTATACAGTAACACAGAATACTATAGACAGGACACCACTGTGACTACCTATTTCTGGTTCAGGGGCCCAGGCTAGCTCAGTCAGTACAATGTTTGCCTACATAATGAGAAAATAAAGGATTCTCTATATCCAGGAACAGTTGTTGTAGTTTACTTATGGACTAATTCGTCGACGTGTTTCGAGCGCTGTGGATGGTCCTGATGATGGCCGCAGAGCGGTCAAAACACATCGACGAATTAGTCCATAAATAAACTACAAGTGTTCCTGGATTTTGAGAATCTTTTATTTTCTCATTATGTTGACCACATTGTAAAGAGTTCTACAGAATACCTTGGGTATCCTTTCAGGAACCTAGCCGCAATCTTAGACATATAGTGTGTTGGTTCTTCAATATTGTTTTCTCAATGTTTGCCTACGTAACTTAAGGTGAAGATCAGGCTGTGATTATTCAAAGGCTAGTTGGAGATGACCAGTGGTCAGTGAAAATTTTTAAGCATGAATGAAAGAAAATTGGAAACATTCTTTACAGTTTCACAGCTGTAGGTTTGTTGAGACTGATCAGATTTATATATTTTAAGTGTTCATTTCACATTTAATACCCTTGTTTTCACAAACCACTGGTTAATTCTAACTTAATTTTGAGAAACTGGGGCCTGAGGTCTGTGGTTCAATGCTCCTTATTTGCTCTCAATGGCATGTCATGGGCTCTTGATCGGACTGTGGTAGCAACCAACTACTGAGGAGATCTTGTCTTAAAATTAATCTGGCTGTTCATGGGATGATAAACAGAACAAAGAATTAAAAAGACAATTTATCATTGCTAGAACTGTATGTAATTTGCTCCAGGTCAGTTCAGACAGAAATCTCCAACAGAACTTAGTTTTTCATTTTACTTCTTTGCTTACTAGGAAATTTAGATATCAATAAAATTAATGTTTTGATTTGATTATTTCAGACATGGATAAAAGTGCTGAAACCCTACTGTGTTAATACACAACCCACACGGTCACAGTCACGCTCCTTAAAGGAGTTACGTACCTTGACAGTGGAGGTGTGTGATGCGCGCGGTATACCCACTAAGACACTGCCTCACCCCTACTGTGTGGTTTCTCTGAACAATGTACGTGTGTGTCGTACACAGGTGGAGGAAGGCACCAACCCTATGTGGGACGACAAGTTTATCCTGGAGTAAGTACAACTTCTATATTTTCTGTTCTGTCTCTTTTACCAGCTTAACTTTAATCAGTTATATAATGTTAACATGACTATTTTGATGCTCTCTGCTGTGTGAAACTTGTTTGATCTCTTTACTGACACAAAATCAAAGGCTCTAGTTTCAATAGTCTAAGTGATAGCTTGAGTGGTAATACCAAATAGTAATGAGGCCATGGTGATCAGGTGGATAAGGTGTCTGACCAACTTCATCACAAGCCCTCCACCTCTGGGTTTTTCTTAGGGAACTGCGGCTTTCCTCCACCACCTTAACCTGGCATGTCCTTAAATGACCCTGGTTGTTAATAGAATTTAAAGCAATAATTAACTTAACTAGACCTAAAAGCAAGTAAGGTGATGTGAAGGGAGGGAGGATCATGGAGTTATGGAATAAAAGCCAGATCTTTAATAGGTTTAAAACACTCATTCTGTGGTATATTGAAAAATGTAAGACAGTCTTTTATAGACTTTGAAGGAGAGAGCTGTGACCTGTATGTTGTAATCTTATGTTTGATTTAAGATTTCAAGAGAAAGTTTCAAGAGAATTTGTCAAAACTCAAAACTATGAATCCAATCTGAATTAAAACCAGATCACAATACTTTTGGTAAGGAGAGAAGTGAATGAAGATCCAGTTTTAATTAGATTGTGTGAATATATGTATAACCTTTAATTTTGCATGATGATTCAACAGATACAGTACATGTGTTTGGGGATATCAAGCCCTTACGACCAAGGTCATTGATTCTATTAATAGATCATGACAATTTTAACTTGCACTGTCTGTCATTGTGAGTGATGTTTGTGTGTTACAGTGATATTCCATGTGACATAGAAGATTTCAGCATAACTATCTGCAATCACAGCCGTCGAACGAAAGATCAGGATATTGGTAAGTTTGAGTCTCAAAATCAATTATCACAGCTGTCAATGAAAGATAAGGCAATCGGTAAGTATGAGTCTTGAAATCTATTATCACAACTGTCAAAAGAAAGATTAGGAAAACAATAACAGCTAATGATACTGGAACTTGGTCATTGTTATTAATGATATTATCACCGCTGAAAGATCAGGATATCTGAGTGATTCTTGAAACTATTATTACAAATTTTGAAATCAGTATTTGAGACCTTAAGAATTGGCAATTTAACTCTCTTTTTTTTTTTTCACTGTCCTGTCAGCCATTGCCAACTTGAAATGAGAGATATGTTGGTTCCCCAAAACTTTATTAGTTCCCAAAGCTTATTACAGGATCAGTGTGTTATACAATGTTTTCATTACAGCCAACATAACAATCCCAGTGTTAGATGTAAAAGACACAGACTGTTATGACAAGTGGCACACATTACAAGCCCTGAACCCTACCATGCGTGGTGAAACTGGCTCCTTACGTATCCGTGCACGCTACCTACACGAGATCATAATGCCAGAGGAGAAGTACTCAACGCTCAAAGAGGTGATTTTAATAGTTGTGTTACTTAATTGTTGTTTTATGTCATGTCAGTATTTGGTTGTTATGTCTACATCTGGTTGTCATGTCAACAACTGGTTGCCATGTCAACATTTGGCTAGGGTGTCAACATTAGTTCTCACCTTTATTGTTTGTATACATATTTAGTTGCTATTTTATGAATGTTTTATCAAACATCATTGTCAAGATCAATATTTTGTATATTTTAATCTATATAATTTTGGTAGAAATAAACCAATTTATCGGCTGTCAATAAAAATTTGAAATTAAGTATTGTAGATGGTATCATGAACACAGCTGCAATTTCTGGTCATGATTAATAATTCAGCTTGAATGATCAGCTATTGATATTTCAAGTCCGGTTTACATTTAAGATTAAAACTAAATCCAGATCGATTCCTCAAAGACCTTTGCATTTTAAGTATAAAGGTCTGTATTGTTATTTAAAGCTTATTATTATGTCTTTTTACCTTAAAACTTACAATTTACTGTTGCTTGGTATAGCTCATCTTGAATGGTGACCTGAGTAATATCCTCGAGCTGTTTAATCTCTGTGGCAATGACCGAATTCCTGTGGCAAAAGCTCTGCTTCAAATTTTTCGCCACGAAAAACAGGAGAAGGTGATTTTGAAAACAATGAATGACTTCGAAATTGCAAGGGAAGGTGAGTGTTTACTAGGTTATCTATGGTGTCGGCATACATCATTAAATACATATATACATTCAATGCCTTGCTTTCATTAATTATGTTAAATTTCTTTGGTTTGACTGATGGCACAACTGAAGGAAAACCAAACTATGAACCAGGAATTCTAGACGTACTGGTTGTATCTTCTGATTTCTCACTAGGCATGTGTGACACATAGTTCCAAAATGAATTGTTACAATCTGAATTTTAACTCTACAATGGTTCAAAATGGATTTATGTGAAAAGTTTGCTTTTTCAGTTAATTTTTTTACTGCTTTGCAGCAGAAAACAGATTGTTGTTTAATAGCCAAAAACTGGGCTATTTTCTCTAAATGAAGGAAAAAACATGAATATTTCCTGTTTTTTAAGAAAAATATGCTACTATGGATATTTTCACAATGTATCCAGGCACAGTTTTGCTGTAGATTAAGTAACAGTGCACTAGCTTTTTGGATAACACGACAGAAATAAGAAATCTTTGTGTAGTTAATGTTCTTTGATATCTAAGCAGTGTAGTAATAACCTGGTGGAGACTTAAATGAGTTGATGTATGCTTATCCTTCTCCATCACTGAAACTTGCAGAGGAAGTATCAACACTTTTCCGGTCAACGTCACTAGCGACCACATTGATGGACCAGTACATGAAGATGACAGCCACACAGTTTGTGAGCAACGCCCTGAAGGACAGTATACTAAGGATTCTTGACAGTAAACAGTCATGTGAGGTAGGTATGTCACAACTTACAAGAACCTGTATCAAGTCTTAGAAACTTTACATCTCTGCACACTTGCAATTGTGCTTGATGGCTTCTATTTGATTTAAAGCTGCAATTTCTCTAGATAATACAGAAGAATGGAACCTTATTTATCTAGACATTTGTTTGTTTTAATTAGCTTTATGAATCTACTGTAATTAAAACTCTTAGTGATATCATAAAAGAAGGCCAATAAATTATTGTGAATTGAAATTATGGGGATTGGCTTATTACAAGACAAAATCAAGGCATTGACTTTTTGCAGGACAAAATAAGGAGGGTTGGCTTAATGCAGGACAAAATGGAGGGAGTGGGCTTATGTACCGGACAAAATCAGGGAGTGGGCTTATTACATGACACAATCAGGGGACAGGCTTACTTTATGACACAATTAGAGGGTTTACTTGTTACAGCATGAAATTGGGGATTGGCTTATTACATGACACAATCAGAGGGTTTCCTTGTTAGAGAGAAAAATCAAGGGGTGGGCTTATTATAGGACATCGAATAAGTTTTATTAAGTTTTTTGTGATTCTACGAACCGAATGATATTTTTAGCTTTAAACCAATAATAAGTTGGCATGTTAAGTTTTTTTCTTTATTGTGTAACATTTCAGTATATTAACTCTTTTTTTTAGTTGAATCCACAACTTTTAGAAAGTGGAGCTGACATAGCTGCTAACAGAGAGAATTTTCTCCATCACCTTAACGATGTAACAGAGTCAATAATTAAAGCTATCACCAGCTGTCCTGTGTAAGTATAAAATGGTGCCAAATGCTCCATTATTGTAATCTGATCTTGTGCAATAAAATGGTTCATTGCAGAGTTGCCTTTCACTTATCCACTATTGATGAAATGTGGCGAGATATATCATGGCTGCTGGTGGTTAATCAGCATGTGTGCCCTCTTATGCATCCATACATTCTCGATACTCCAGAGGTTACACCCACTACATCCCCAACACTCCAGGAGTTACACCCACTACATCCTCGACACTCCATGGGTTACACTCTCTGTCACTCTCTGCACCACAGGAACATGTCATGGCAAAATGAAGGCGCAAGCGAAGTAATTTGATTGGTATAGAGCGGGATCCAGAAGATAAACCTGACTAATCTCAGACTGATAGCTCCTTTGAAGATTATACAAGAATGACACCCAACTTCAAAGTTATAACAACGCACACACACACACACACACGCACATGGTTTATTTTGCTGTTTTTCTATTTTTACATACTAGTATTTGTGTGTTTCAGGGTGCTGAGATTTATATGTGGCTGTTTACAAAGAAGCGTGGCAGCTAAATGGATAAACGACGAGAGTGTGAGAACGCGGGTTGTCAGGTACTAATCTGTTATTGTACTGATGCTTGTAAAACTATTGTCCAGTTTTAGCAATATATACATAATAGCTGTAGTATCCTGTGTACATGTATTGATGCTTTTTTTTTTCCCTATAGTCAAATAATTATTATGACTCTCTGCACAATTTAGCACAAAAATAAACATTTAGGAATAACACTGATTTGACATGGAGAAAGCTTATAAATAGAATTGGTTTTAAGGTAGAACTATAAAAAGAGATCTTCGTCTTAATTTCTTCTTTCATTCTTCCAACTTTACGTCAGCTGATACAAATGTAAGAGATCCATGTTTTGATGCTGTATACTTGTATGCATTCTGCGTTGTATGAATGGAGAGGACTTGTGTATGCCAAAATTTGCCATTTCTAGTTTACTGAAATTGCTTTGAAAATGTCTTAGAATGAAAAGGATATTTAAAGATACAATGAAAAATTGCTATATTCGCCATCAGAAAAGATAGAGTGATATTAAATACTATTTCCCACAAGGAAGAATATCACAGAAAATATCTGTTATGCCTGTATACTTGGGCACCAGTTCATAGATATGCACACAATTTGATACTTTGTCCGAACTGTGACAACTGCAAATTATTAGCCACCTGAAGTTAAACAAATTTACAGTATGCATGGAATTAAGAAATAACGTAATGTGACATAATGATGTGATGAAAATGCCACTTTGTAAAGCACTGTTTTTAGCTACAACTGTATTTGTGATTTATTTCTGTATTTACAGTGGGTTTATATTTCTACGATTGCTCTGTCCAGCTATCATAAACCCCAAGTCCTTCAACCTTATATCAGGTAACAAATTTCTATCAAATATTGCAGCTTTTCTTTGTAAAGAAATTTTACTTAGACAAGTTTGAATGTTTTTCTATGACCCCACAAAATGTTAATGTTTTGTTTTTGTGAAGTATTAGTGTGCACTGGTATTTACATATATTCCTGTACATTAATACAGTGTTTCTCATGGTATCATATTGTAATTTAGCTACCTGAGAAAGCATATATACAAAATCTTGATATTATGAAGTGATAATCATTTTGTGACTTGGATTTTTTTTCCTTTTTTCAAAGAATGAGCAGATTTATTGTACTATGGAAATAATCGTTACTGTCAAATTCATTATCCGGATAATTTCAAATTACATAAATTGTGATGAATATGGAATTTGGAAATTCTTTGCTCATATTTCAGGTACATCATCATTTTATTTTGCTAGAATGAAGTTGATTTGTTTTTCACAGAAACTCCAACAGAAATGGCCTCAAGGACATTAAAACTAGTTGCCAAGGCACTTCAGAATCTAGCCAATCTTGTCGAGTTTGGTGCAAAGGTAGGGTCTTTTAAACTGCAGCTGTTACTCAAAACATGTGTTAAGGTATGTGGAGGGGAGAAATAGTAGTTCAAACATATTTTAGCAGTAATCTAAAAAAAAAAAAGACTTGTTTTAGCATTTTTTTCACTGAAAATATAGTGCTAAAATGGCATTGTGCTGATTTATGGCTCTGTATACTGTTTATAATGCAAGTATTGTGGATGCTCAAATCCATTGTACTTATTTATCAAAAAGTAATAATGTGCTAAAATTTGTGGCAGGAAAGTATGTTTACAGAACTTTGTTATAAGCTCTACAATCTGTTATATTTTATATCAGAATTCATTTTAGGCAAGGTATCTGGTTATTTGGAAGTATAATCTGACTTCCAAATTTTCATTCAAATTACCATTTTTCAATTGCATTATGGTTGATTTATATGCTCCCCAAAGGGAGAGGATATAGTCGCAGCTTTGTCGGTCCGTCAGTCTGTCTGTCATGATTTTTTCCAGAGCATAACACAAAAACTATAAGAGGTATTAACATAAAACTTTATTGGTAGAAAGTTCACAGCAAAGAGAAGTGCACAAGAACCATCAATCTCTTTTCCATAATTTAGGAGTTAATGCCCTTTGTTATTTTTCATAGTTAAATTTTGTTTGAAGCATTTTTCTAAAACTATAAGATGTATTAACATGAAACTTCTTAGATAGGAAGGTCTCAACAAGAAGGAGGGTAGTGTACAAGAATCATGACTCGCTTATTGCTTTTTGTAAGTTTTCATACATAAATTTTGTCCCAATGGGGGAGCATAACCCATCTGAGACAGCCCTTGTTACCACATGTTCTAGGAACAATCCTGGATCATAGGGTCATATGTTGATGATATCTGTTACATGCTATAAGTATGTGTTCATTTGAGATTGTTATAAATGGTGACAGACCTGGTGTTGAACCATGTAATCTTTGTTGTAGGAATCATTCATGGAAGTCATTAACCCATTCATCAAAAGAAACAAGGAGAGAATGGTGGTGTTCTTGGATGAGTTATCAGTAAGTTGCTCAGAAGATAACTACAATCAAGATATTGTTATATCTTATATCACAGAAACTTAATTATGTGTTTAAATATAGTGATGATGATTATAGAATTGATAAAAAACCTCAATACGACAACCTTCATTTCCTTGATCTCTCTGCATATTGTTATATTAATAAATCACGAGGTTTGATCTTTCTCATCAGTGATGACTTAGTTTTACATCTGATCTTGTTTACTTGTTTACAATTTTTTCATAAGACATGAGATGAATGTGTTGAACTTTTTCAAGTGCATTAAAGTACATGTATTATTGCAGTAGTGCTAAAAAATGTGTTCCAGAAATCAAGATTGATTTAAAGGAACATTACTAATGAAATTCATACAAACTAGAAAGGTGTATAGTCTTGTTTAAACCTGAAAAGGAAATAATTTGTTTTTTGCATTACTATACTATTCTGTTTTTCAAATAAAGTGAATTGTTTGTTATGGAAAAGTGTAATTGAAGATGAGATATTATTTTTAATGAAGATTACCTTTGCTACAAAATTTTAGGGTTGTAGTTACATGTAGTCATTTTGATAGCACACTTGTATTTCATATTTCCTAGAATATGTCTGAAGTGGACACAAGTCGTCTTCAAGTGAACGTCAATGATGTGGCCAGAAATCTTGCCACCATTCATCAGATCTGTGCCTCGCATCTGTCAGAACTCAGGAAACTCAGCGAGTCAAAGGTTGATATAACAAACACAAGTTTTGTAGATAAACAATATAAGACAATTGTTCATGTTAAATGTGAGGTTTAGGTTTAATGTTGCTTTACATCCTGTTAACAGCCAGGGTCATTTAATAATGTGCTAGGTGTAGGTGGTGGAAACCGGGAATTTCCAGACAAAACCACAGAACTGCAGCCAGCATGGGATCTGCCCCACGCAGGCCTCAAACCTGTGACGCAGAGGTGGAGGACTGGTGATAGACAGTCAGACATCTTAACCATTACATTTGAATGACCATTGAAAAAAGGGACTTTCTCAGTTTTTATTTTTTCAGCTTCTAGTTCGAATGAGCCTGTAGATTTTACAATATATGAAGTAACGTGTTCACATATATGAATATTTGGAAATGCCTGCAAGGCAGATGTGGCTAAAGTTTGTCTTCTAATTGTAAAACACCAGAGTATCTAATGATCATGTCATGTTATCTCCTTTGAAAAAAAAATATTAACGTTGTTAGAAAATTATTGAAAATTTATTATGATAAAATTTGAAAAATTTTGAACTCTTTCAATGAAATATGTACAAAACCTTTTATATACAATTATGATTTAAGGTATAATGATTTTATAAAGAATTGACTCATTGTTATCAGTGAGTACAATGTTTCGTTTTGATATTTATGACTTTTTCTGTATGCTTCCAGATATCTCTGAGAAAGCTGGTGGCAGTCGCAGAAATCTTATCCGACCACAAAAAGCGCTACATGACATGACACCTGTCCTCCTTCTCATCATCATTATCACACGTTTCAAGTTGGCTAGGGACTGGTTCTCCCATCTTGATATTCATTTTCATTCACGTCGCCATTTCTTGTTGTCAACTCCTTCTTGTGGCTATCGAATGATACAGCTGGTCAAGAAGCTGAATTTCATAATAAATGACGGGAGACTATAAATAGATTTTATAGGACGTAAAAAACAGAAATTTCATTATATCCGTAGATATTGAAACTGTGAAATGAAAGGTGGTTGAATCAATTATTTATTTTAAAATTTCTTGCATTAGTCCACCTATAATGTTCTCCAGATATAATGAAAGTTTTACTTTCTAAAAAAAAATGTCAGCAGATATGAGAACAAAGCAACATTACAGTGGAATGTGCATCATTGTAACGAAGTGGATAACATAGCATAATTCCATGAAGTGGATTGTGTTGCAGTGTGGCCAGTCAGATATGGGTGCTGTGTAACGATGACATTGACAGTATTGGACAAAAGTTCCTGACCAATGTGATCCATTCATCGATTGTAGCCATGACCTTAATGGCTGTCTATTATTAAACATGAAGATAAGCATGGATAACAATAACAACATAATTTTTAGGAGACTTACATATATATTATTTATAACCTGGGGATACATAAAAAATCTTATTGGTTGACATTAGATGAAAATAAACAAGTTTTGAATCTGACCAATGAGATCCATGAAACAGACATCTGCTTCTAATTGGTCAGTAGATATGTAGGCCAGTTTAGTAAATATAGAAAATAGTGATGGTAGGATTTTATGATGTGAATGGAAGAAATGAGTGAGAGTGATGTATTTAGAGGCACAACATAGACATGGCTTGGTGAGATACTTTCGAACCGCAGTGAAATGAAATATTTCAACACTACGATGATGTATATTTGAAATTGATTTCAGAACTGTAGTGAAATATCTAAACTAATTTCAGAACTGAACTGGTGAAATATTTTAGAACTAGTGATATTTCAGGTCTGATTTCAGAACTGTGGTGAAATATTTCAGAACTGATGAAATATATCAAACTGATTTCAGAACTGGTGAAATATTTCAGAACTGATGAAATATCTCAAACTTATTTCAGAACCGTGTTGAAATATTGCAGATCTGATTTCAGAACTGGTGGAATATTTCAAAATTGCATGGTGACTTCTTGTTCTTAACACAAAAGAGAGTAATGCAAAAAATGTTAAATACATGTAATATTTTATCATAACTTCTGTCTTCACCTTGTATAATCAAAGATAGTTTTTTATTTCTATGTATTAAATACAGTTGTATTCCCATTTAAGATATTGACATTCTGTTTGATTTTTGATGTTGTTTGAAATGAAAATAAGTTAATCATATTATTTAAGTTTATACAAATTTGAATCAAGAGTTTAATTTTTTTTTATTAATTCAAAGAATTTTCTCAAATAGTAAATCATGGACAAATTTCCTCAAAGGGATATTAAAGCTGATGTCGATAATTCATCACTAATTTTTTTCTTGATCAAAAACTTATTGATTATTTCATCATTTTAATCAACACCAAAGCACCAGGAGTTAAATAATTAATTAATTAATTTTTTCTCTCTACTTTAATTTTCCGAAAGATCCATCATGGTTTACAGAAGATCTCTTTTCCTGTTTATTAAAATATTCAAAGATAATTGTTCAACAGAAAGCTGAGTGCAAAAAGATAACAATCAATGACTGAAAATTTGTCAGTCTACCTGGTATACATCCTCAGCCCCAGGTAAATAAGCGATTTTCACCTGGGGCTGAGGATGCCTGGTATATTACATGAATGAATATTTTATCATAACTCTTTTATGCAAGTTCAGATAGTGTAGATATTATTTTCTGTTTTTGTTTGACATTCCTGCATCTGTAAGCAAGGAAAGTTTACAAAGACCAATGCTATATATACACTAATGGTAAAAACAACAACCATGGTCACAGTGTTATTTCATTGTTTTATATCCTTACATTCTGTGTGACATTTTAAGATCGATCACAAATTTTTTTTTCATCAAATGTTAAAGGATCAACCCACGAAACAGTGAGCAAAGAAAAAAAAGGTGATGTTGTACATGACGTGGTTTTGTACATGCCATGGTTTTGTACATGGTTTTGTACATGACGTGGTTTTGTACATGACATGGTTTTGTACATGACGTGGTTTTGAACATGACATGGTTTTGTACATGATGTGGTGTGGTTTTGTACATCATGTATGTGGAGAACACTGTTTATAGTATTTATTTCTCAAAATATTTTTTCAGATTTGAATGGAACAGATAAAACTGTTTTCTGTGTGTATACATATAAATGCATCCAGGCATTTTATATATAAGTACAGTGTATATGTTAGAACCTAAGAAATTAATCAACTACAAACCTTGTTTTCCCTCTATGTCCTATTTAGTACAATCCAGCCATTGTAGCTAAATAGATCTGGATTGATAAGACTCTGCTGTAGATCAGCTACTTGAGTTCTATTTCTCTCTTGACATATTTTATACAGATTACAGTATGTATTTCTGGATCATTTTAATGGAATCACTTTCTAAACATGTTTCTGAATCAATTCTATTGCTCAATAAATCAGAAGCTTAATGACATTGGTGAAATTTAAGACCAGTAGCATGCCTTCAAAATTAAAAAATCAACATACCATTTTTGGGATTAGGTTCAAAGTGAAAAGGAATAAAAATGAGAAAACTAAGTTGCCAAAACAACACTTTGAGGGGGAGTAAACCTGATTTAAGGCTATATGCTATCTCCTATCAGAGTATTTCATCATGACAGATCATTTTGACTATGTACATTGATTAGTATTGTTGAAAAGTACACAACTCTGAATAGAGTTTCATCATGCTGTGTGTTAACAGATATTTAATATAACCCATGAAAGTCAAATTCTATTGATGGCACGAGGCTTTAAATATAACAATTACAGTAAAAAGCTGGAAAACTGTAATAGTGAATGTAAAAACCATTAATTGGATCAGAAGGTACTTAACTGATTGTATATTTCAAAAACAAGCAAAAATTGATAACAGACTTAAAAAGGTATACAAGAATTATAATTTGATAATGGCACCCTTTATACAAAGTTATGTAACTTCATTGTTTTAAAAAAAAGGTTTAAAGGGGAAACTTCTCTAGCATACTGAAAGGTTAATAAAAACATCTATTTAACAGAAATCTAAAGTGAATCGTGAAATAAAGCATTCACCAGTGAAATTTACAGGGAAAAGTAAACATGGAATACAAATTTTACCCATGTCATCAAGCTGACTGATTTGGATGCAAACTTGAGTCGAGAAAAAAAAGTGCTTGGTAATATGATCATATTGTTTTTATTTCTTGTTATAATTGTAGTTTTCAAAAGTAACCAAAATTTATCTGTTATTATATTGCATATATAGCTTTAACATGTGACTGGGTCAAGGCTCGTGTGAAAGGGTAATGTAGGATAGGTCTATTTGGATGTATGTGATCGTTCTATGGTATATGTAAGAGAGACAGGTTGTAAAGTAATGATGGATAGCCAAGATTTCAACCTCTATTCTGGTTGATTTTCAAAATTTAAAAATCTAGACTGCTTTCTTGAAGGCTAATTTTTCGGGTTTCCATAGATTTTCTATGACAATTAATGAAGTTAATTCACAATGAAAAAAGATATTGACTTTTTAGTGGTCGTTGTAGACAATATACAATATGATAGATGTGTCTAGTTTGATATGCACATCTTGTTTGTAAGAATGTCTGCAAAACCATTTTTGGAGACATTGGAATTGATGAATTCATTGACAATTGATATCAAGGTCAAGGCTATTATATATGGCCAAAAATTAATGTTTCAAAGTATTAATTATATACTGTATGTGAAATAAGATCAGATGATGAAACAAGCTAACTCAAAAGTTCAGCTGATAACTGTTGTACATATTTGTCGTTCTTATTGACAGCTGCCTAAAACAGGCCTTGTATGTTTATAGATAGGTATACGCACAAAGGAAATATATTGAATCCCATCTGGAATAGGTCGTATGAGTCATGGCTATCATAGATAAAAAGATGGTGCTATTTTCAATGTTTGTTTTAAATATATCTAAGAAGCAGATAGTTCTTACACATTAAACTTCCTCCACATATTTCTTTTACAAAGTTCTTGCAAATTGTGCACACATTTTTCTGCTAGAATCTAATATTTGTTAAATCTTTTAAACTGTCTCGTGCTTGAATTTAAGAAAGTGTCTCCCTGTATATTTGAGGGAGAAATTTCCCCATGTCTTGTCAAACACGAGGGAGTAACTTTCACTTTGTTGTTATAAGGGTATTTCTCATTGTATGTGTTGATGATGGGATCTGTTTTTATTGGTATTATAGTGTTTATCCTGCAGTAAGCCTCGGGACCAACACTTGATCTTTTACTCCAAGAGGCGGGGGGCTTATTAAAGAATGACGAAATTGCATTTGTTGGTATTTCAGTAGAACTTAAAATGGGTGGGCTTATTACCAGGCATGGGCTTACTGCTGGATAATTTCAATTTCTTTTTCTTTAAACATATAACTATAAAAAATATTTATGGATATTCTTTTTTTTTTTTTTTTTTTTTTTGATTGTTTCAGTCATGACAGTAGAAAATTGATCTGAGATTATATCAGGATTTAGCTGAATACAGTCAGATTTATATAGTTATCAGAAATCTCGGGGGGGGGGGGGGGGGGATGGGGGAAACAAGCAATGAATTTGGAGGAGAGGGATGGGAGCCACAGAAGATGTAGAGAAAAAGTAGTAAAACAGGAAACATTGTCACTTATAAAGAATATGATAAATAAGAGGGTCTGATGAATCTTAAGACTTGAATCTACAAAATGAACTTGGGAATATGACCAAAGTAACTCTGCCAGCAGTCTGAATATTGAGGCCAACATGTAGCAGTGCCTGGCACTGGTCGCAGTTAGGTAGTTTTTCCCCAGAAACTTTGGCTTTTCTTCACCATCCGAACCTGGCACATCCTAAAACTAACCGTGGCTGTTGATTGAATGTGAAACAACAATAAGCCAAACTAGATAGATCAAGCTTCTCTAACCTGTGAAGGAGTTTTCTTGATGGACAAATTTAATATCTTCAATATTTTAGAGAATGTGTTGTGTGGTTTATTGAATATGAACATATACTTGGTATTTATATTAATTGTTGAAGTAAGACTGAAAACTTGTTAATGAAACATATTATTTGTTTTTAAATATTACTGGGGTTTTTTTCACAACCCACATGACTAGTTTCAGTTATTAACTGTGGTCAAAAATCCAATTTTACCAAACGAGCAAGTAACAGAGTAAGGCTTACTTGATATATATTTTTGACATATAAATGTTTGAGATTTATAACAGATTTGTGAAAATATTAGTGCAATATTGTACAACATTATCATTGAGACAGAAATTGTGTGCTAGGGTGAGGCCAAAGCTAAGCCTTTCTTTTACTTAATATCTAAAGAAAAGTGATTTTTAATTTTTGGCATTAAACATATTTTAATAATAATTCTCTGGCTAAATTTTTCCCTGGAATTTTCATTCTTAATTGGTGCAAAAATCATTGGTGCAAAAATCGAAATTTTGAGTCGTGTATCTCAATATTTGCCTGTGGTATGGGAATGAACTTTATGCTGTTAC